TATGATGAATGAATGAATAATCATCATTAAGTGGTTCTGGTCGATTTCTTGGTACTTTTTATTTTCTGCTAAATTTCCATTATTATTGATATTATTCAAAAAGATGTTGTTATATGTGCAGTTGCTGTTGATGGCGAACATTGATCATTCGACCAATCGATGCACAAAGCCCTTTGTATAACTCCAAAACTCCTATTGTTGTTTGCAATATGAAAGAATAAATGAAAAGAAGGGAGAATGTGGTGATAGTGATAATTGGGGAACGAAAGAAAATGCATATTTCTGAATAAGTTTAAAAGCTTGAAGGAGTCTGAAATGGTGTTTAGCGCGAAAGAACAACCAAATTCGCGATTTTCACTTAATGAATCGCATACAAAACAGTTTTGTTTTTCAATCAGACCGACTGATCGAAAATTTGACAAAATTCAGCCTTTCAGATTGATTAAAGAAAGAAATTATTCCAATAAGTGTTTAGCTGAAAGGTTTTGTTGAGTGGTAAATAAGCAGCAAAAAAATTGCAAAAATTGAAATAATGAATTTTATATTTTTGCGCTTTATTTTTTTCGATGTATATTTAGAAACTCCCGTATTATAAACAAAGAGAAGTTAAAAGTTGATTGCTTTTATTACCTCGTTCGTTTTAACGAGCAAACCTTTACCGCATAATTATGATTGTTGCATAATTGCGCCTATTTGAATAGTTCAGATTATTGGCATCAATTATTTTTGATTTAAGACACTTCGCGATTCCTTCATGATTCTCATATTTCCAATGATTTTAGCAAGGATTTCATCAATAAAATATATAATAATGCAATAGCAAATTACCTCACATAATCGAATCGAACCTCATATATTAAGCAGACATTTCTATAAGGAAATTAAGGAGGAGGAATAAGAAGAAAGTTTATTGTGGATCACTTCTACAGATTTTTTAGCATCCATCATTTTCTACAAATAACATAGATCAAAATCAAAAAGGGAAGAGCTGTAAATAGAAAAACTATTTTTTCTGTGATATTCACCATTTCTAATTTGGCTGAAAAAAATGAAAAAAAACATGCCAATCACAATAAAAGTATACAAAATTCTCAAGAAATTCACCAGAGAGTCATTAATCAATAAAAATTTACCAGGGATTTATCAATGGATTCACATAATCATCCGGTTCCAACTTTTAACTACAGGCGACAGAGATCGAAGGACAATGTTTGAACTGATATTATAGTCAATGTATCACTCTGGTACAGTTCACTCAAAACAACCCAGACATGGTGCAATGGATAAATGATGCAATACCTCTATGCAAGTTGCGAGCTCTTAAAAAGTTCCGTAATTCTTCGGTAGGCACTATATCATGTTATATGACTATGAAACATGCCAGTAAGAAACCATGTGTTTTCGATGTCTGATACACTTTAGGTGTCTGCTGAAGAGAGAGGTTCAGATGGTTACATCCATTTTCTTTCGAATACACTCTGCACTGTTATCATAAATCTTCACAGCCCAGCATAGGAACTGATGCTTATCTTAGTGCCTGCTAAACCCTTTGATGAATGGCGTCAAAAATGAGGATCGTTAATACTGGATTGATAAAGTTAGGAGAACTTTGGAAGGTATGGGCGACCCAGTGACGTATAGGCTTAAATGATAAAAAAACAAATAGTTTCGGCTACTTTTAGGTATGGCGTCTCATTGAGTGAGTGACCTGGAAGTGGAAGCTGAGCAGTGCGAGCTGTTTGAAGAAGTTTATGCAGATGCCAATGTCCATCTAGTGATCTTATGTGGGAATGGATTTCACTTTAAAACTTCAAAAAATTTTTTTATTTTTGTAAAAGAATTGTTCTTCATTTATAGTACTATAAATCTTGATCTAAATCGCAAAAAGTGCAGCAAATAGTTATGAAATTTACAATGCAAGAAAGTTTTGATAGATTAAGAGATCTATATCTCTTCTTTTTAACCTTTTTTAAAAGAAAAAAAATGCACGTCTCCTCTAGCGAAAAAAACCAATATAAAAATCAAAATTAATGATGAGATCAGAAATCGACCCACCGAGCAAAACTAGTTGTCTTATCTAAAAACATCGAAATTTTGTAGGAGAAATCCAGAATCATTCTTGCTACTGAAAAAGGTAAAAAATGATGGAGATACAAGCAGCCGAAACCTTTACTTACTTTCTTATATTTGAACAAAAATTTAACTGAACAAACTGATGTAATTTTAATAGAAATAATAGTTATTGCGTTGGGAATTTAGGAAGTGGTGAATGCAGTTAGAAGAATCTGTAAACTGTAGGGAATCTTCTAATAACCTTATAAAAAGCCATCACTGCTTTTAAAATCATTATAATTCATTTCATTTTATATTAATCTTTTATCTTTTATTTTGCAGTAAGGCAACTAATAAACAATATACTGTAGTCAAATAAAGACACTCATTTCATTCCACATTTGATCATTTATTTGGCCTTCGTTCATTAAGAAAATAAATCGCTCACGAGAAGGTAAACAACATAAAATTAATGATATAGAAGTTATATTTTAAAAAGTCTACAAACATATGTGTTATATGATATTCATAGCAGCCACATGGTTAATATCGCTTAGAAAAGCAGTTCTAAAGCGATGCGAAGATCGTTAACGATTCTTGAGCGAATAATGTGTTTTAAAGAAAACCATATGTATGTGTTCTCAATATTAAATAGAGCAAACGTAGAAAGTTTTATGGCTTCAGGCTCATGCATTTGCAATTCATTAAAATATTATGCAATTTCGATAAATCGTAAATATTTTGAAAAGAAACTAAGAAGGAGGGACTATTGGAAATGTGAAACTTTAAACCACAAAACGCATTGAATTGAACCAATGTGAAAATCGCGAAAAGGGATTAACCGAGAAAGACTTAAAGTACAAAAAAATAGTGGAACTCTCAGTATACGACTTTATAGCTTCCATACCGTCCTTTGATTATTCTTTTTTTGATATTTCATTAAGTTAATATTATGACAGTAAATGACAATAAATGCACTTTTAACGATGCAAATTTTTACATCATTTGAATATATATTTATATATTAAGAATATATTAAGTTTTAACTACCGATGATATTTATAGAGATTGATGCATTCATATTTTAAATTATGAGTATTTAAGGAAAAATAAGATCAAGCCATTATAGATTCGAAAATCCGGATGCTACCAGAGGTGTACTGGCAAGTGGTTAGTGCTCACCATTTTCTAATAGACTCATTCAGATTGCTGCTATTATTATAAATTTTTGCCAACATTTTTCGTCCTCAAGTGGCAATTTGGGGAAGGCCCATCCTGAAAGCCAGTGAAATCACCCAAATCAAAAATGCTACAGAGCTATTAGAAGAAACCAAATTAAACTGTATTCCACCCACCCGAAAAATTTTCATATCGGATAACCGTTCTTAGCACGGCTATATTCATGGCGTTAAAAAACATGCAACATTCATGCATCAAGCCATGTTCCCATTGCAGCCAAAATGTATAAAGCAGATAAGAGTTTCTCTCAAATTTCTAATATCTCAAGCTGAAAGATTCAAAGATAACACGCTTGCCACTTTTGCATGCGAATGCAACCAGCCAGTTTCATAACAGCGTTGTTAGAAGAAGGAAGAATCAATAAAAGATCAAAATGTTTAACAAAATCTGTAAAATTATTAATAAGAAAGTAAAGTGTAGATGATAACCTGACAATAATTACAGAAAAAAGAAATATTTATTTTTTTCGAAATATAAACATATGATACATTGTAACAACTTCCCACTCTGATTTCGACAATGTTCCCTGCAAATAATGAGGCTCAGAGAATGAAAAAAACCTTAATTGAAAAGGCAAAAAATGATGATATTAGTAATATTAATATCTGATAGAGAATCCCTTCCCACCAATAAAATTATTTCTTATTCGTAAATTTGAATATATACGTAAGTACAATTTCAAGAAACGAAAGTGAAATCATGACTCACTCAATTATTTCCGTTTTTATTTCACTAGTTAAATAGACGTTGGTTGTCTTTATATTATTTATATTTCGACATCAATTAGATATAAAAGAAAAGTTATCTAAAATTTCATTAAAATTAAATTAAAGTGAAAAAATTCACTACATTTAAAGATAAGACTTACCACCGAATCAATATTGCTTGTACCTTCGTTCGAATTGGAATATAATACAGCTTCTGCATGACTGTAGTCAGCCAAACTTCCCTTAAGCCTGCAATGAAAACTTGTGGTATTGCCCAGAATTCACATTTGCTTACCTAGCTAATACTCACCAAGAATTCGACTGCGGTGGATAAGGTTCAAGGGCGTTTATCCTCGAAATCAAAGGATCAAGTTTGCTATTGTTCAACATCTCTTCACGAGCCAATTCACTAAATCTTTTCTTGTAAACTAATTCCATTCCGCATTCCATCATTAACCTACAAAAAATTTTTTACCTAATTAAAAACTCTTTAGAATATTTCGAAAAATTTAATAAAATCACTTATCATACAAAACTATTGTAATGATCACTCATGCAAAACGGTTATATAAAATAGAAAATTTTTAATGTTGCAAAAAACGGATATCAATTCTGCACAAAATAATCAGCAAAATAAAAATTTAAAAATTACCAGTATTATCTATTTTTTCCCAGCCAACTAAAGTGATCAAATGAGATGAAATAAATAAACAAATTATGAATTATATTAAAATTAAAATGATCGAAAAATTAAAAATAATTAAAAATAACAAACAAACTTCTCCATAACTGGGAAGTGTACGAGATATTCTGGACAATTAACCTTAAAATTAATAATGTAAATAAATAGCAACCAAAAATCCCAATAAACTGGTACTCATAATTAATTTTCTAATGACTAAAGCCAGTTTCGACAAAACTTTGAAATATGAAGTGCAAATATGATTTCAATTCAAAATTTTCAATTCAAATCAAAATTTCAATTCAACCTACCTTTCAAAATCAAAAAAAAACCTGTTCTTCTAGAGCAAAGTGAAATTTAGCACCGAAAATTGGTGGCCGATAATTTTCTTTTTGAAACAATTCTTGATCACCGTAAGTTAATCGAACGACATCATTTGAATAGCAACCGAAACCTTTTCTTAAGAAAAACCTAATAAAAACATAAAGTCATTAAATAAAAACTTATTGGTTAGGTTATTAAAAAGTAAAAAGTATTATTAAGCAATCATTTCGGGAACAAATAAGAACCTGCAAAAAAAAAATCAATTTTAATTTTGATTAACTGCTTTGGAAGATTTAAAAAATATGCGTAAGCAAAGAAAAAAAAAGGAGTAAAATTATAAATCAATCACATATCAAATCAAATTACATAATTCGTTCTGCTTCTGGTAATGTACCCAAAAATAAGCCACCGGGTTTCAGCATTTCAATCGCATTTCGTATCATCACACGGGCCTGTCGTTCAGTTTCAAAAGCATAATGAAATGAAAACTGACAACTACAAAGGTCGAATTCAATAGCTGGATTCTTATAAAGATCTTTCAAATGTTCCTGAAAAAAAATCAATCTAAAAACTAATTTAACTTAAATGAATTCATCACAAATTGGATTAAACCGTAAACAAATGATAATTTTTTGGGTGAACTCAGTAAAACTTCAAAAATTTAATTTTGATTTTACGGATTTTTTTACAATTTTAAAATTCATAGATATTTCCATAAACCTTATATCGAATAAAAAACGAAGTTTTTTGGGAAATGATCTGTCATTATGAACACAAATGTCAAATTTGAAAAAATAATTCCAAAAATAAATGGTATTAAAAATAAAAATGGAGAACTAACTCTGGTGGCATCTGCTTTGATGAATTCGGCAGTAAATTTGCATTTTCTTGCATTCGTAGATTCTTTATAACGTCGTTCACATTGTTCTAATGAAACTCCGGCAATGTCTATAAATTTTGAATTTAGAATCGACAACAATATTCTCTAAAAGAATTAAGCATATCTAGCTTGGGTAGCTCCATTAGCTATTGGGATGAGAATCATTAACCACAAATCATCTGAGAATAGAAATGAAGGTGTGCCGACAGATTTCATTTTAAATGACAGGTCTACCCTCGTCAAAGGAAAGGAACCCATGTTACCTGTCTTCAATCTAAATAACAGATCACTCTAATATCCTATCCCAAATGACCTATATATTATATATATTCCACCTGTATATATTGCATAGAAAAGACCGAACCTAGGATTTTTAATTGACGTAACACACCACCAACATTCTCTTAATCAGGTTAATCAATAGATAATTTCAATAACGTTATGATACCCTAATTTCTATGCGTATTAAAGTCGAAAAAATTCAAACTGTCTAGAAATGGTTTACAAATATGACAAACCCGTGAAAACAACATGCGAAACATCCATGTGATTCCACTTCAGCAAATCACCACCTTTACCGCAACAAAGATCGAGACCAACCAAATTTGATCGTCCTTGTTCTCGAAGAAGAATCTCCGCCTTGTCTGCAAAATGAAATATACCCAAAGTTTTAAGAGTGCTGCGGATAGAAGACGGGTGGCTCCATTCGTCTATAAGAGAATTAGCTCCATGCTAACAAGTAGTCGCGAAAATATAGCATTCAGGAAGTTTAATGCATTAGGGAAAAGAAAATTCTGTCATGAAAATGATGCTTACTGCAATAATTCACCATTTAAAATAATTTTTATAACTTACTAAACAATTTAGTTTTTATCCAATTGTTAAAGCAGCGTAAATAATAAATTCGAACGCCTTCTCGTTCTCTGATTCCCGTATTCGGCACGGAATTATAATGTTCTATAACTTCTGACGAATTTGCAACATTCATTTTTTTCTAAACAACTGAATATACTTCTCAAACGACTTCACAACGAATACGACTCGGTACCACAAATTTAGCTTTGAAGATCTGCAATACTGGACTAAATTGACAAATTCACACACCCTTACCCGATATTCCCCAACTTCCACATATACAAATGCAAAAACGCTACAAAAGGACAGAAAATTCAAAAATTTCAATGACTTGCTAACATGCGGCTCGTACAAGTACCATTTAACGGCTTCGAGCGGGAAATTTAAAATGGAATTTTGTCGAATATTATTCAAAGCACCATGCTGAAGTATGTTTTGACTGATGCGTTTAAAAGCCTATTTAAAAGTAGGATCGACGTGATGCTGGGAACATTTATGATTCTAACCCTAAGGGATTTCCTGGCGCTTTTATACGCTGTTAGTCAAGTGGAACAGCCGAAATGACGAGTGGTTAGATTTTATTGGCTGTAAGTAAAAATTTGTTTATATGTTTGGTAAAAAATCCATTTTACTTATTTTACTTTCACTTTATCAAAAATTATATTAATATTTATTTCAAAAATAATAAATTAAAATTCTCTGCATGCTAAATGGTTTTCGTGGGCCATGAACTTCCCTTCCACTTTAAGTTTTATCTTTTATCCAGGAATCTCATCCTGTCTGCTTTTTTGATTACCTTTTTTCTTCCAATATTTAGCAATATTTACTCAAAGTTTTTTTCCATTATTTGGTACAACATAGCACTTTAATAGTATTATATTAAAAAATCCTCTGGTAAAATAAATAAATAACATAAAACAATCTCGATGTGAATGCATATCCCCGAATGAGAACTTCTGCAAGATTCCTGCTAAGATAAGCAAGAGGAAGAGGAACATAATTTCGCTCATTTATCTGCAAATATTTATTAAAAATTTAAATTGGTTTTAGCAGATTATTTAGCAGATTATAAAATATCGGGGAGATATACTGTTTTTTCATACATCGCTGTAATGAACCAGCTTGCTGACCTATTTTTAATATTTTCTGAATCCACCCTCATATAAAACATCTTTTATCATTTAATGACCGCAAATTCAGATGAAAAGATTTTAGAAGATTTAGAAAAACTGTTTTGGGCCGAAAAATTGCAAATTTGTTTCAGATATTGAGAACAAAGACTAACTACTTCATTTATTCGTATAAGTGCAAAACTGCGACAATAAAACAACATAGATGATTTGCTAATAATTAATGAAAAACGTCTGCACTTTCAGTACTAATTTATTAAAACCACAAAAAAAAAATGGAATTGCTAAAAATGAAAGAATCGAGAAAGAGCATATCAAATGACTTAAAATTTTAATGGCCACGCAAAATATGCATTTCTGCAAGAAAAAAAGGTTTAAATTCCTAATAAGAGGCAAGAGATTTGCCGTACAAATCATTAATCAATAAAAATTTTAATAAAGGTATTTCTTTGTACTAAAAGACAACTACAATCTAGACAGTCAATAGGAATCATAAAAGCATGCTTTGTGGATTCTCAAGGTAATCCTTGAAATACTTCAACCACTGAGCGCCAACAGCTCCATCAACAACTCTATGATCACACGATAGCGTCACTCGCATGCTACTTACCGTTGCATAGCTGAAAAAATAAAAAACAAAAAATAACAAAATTATTTTTAATTTAATGAGGTTTAGCAGTGACAGCAATTGAAGCATATTAAAATCAACATATATTAAAAATTAAAATTAAAAATTTTAGATGGAGTTTCCAAAATACTAAAGGTATATGAAAAAATCCCCCCTTTCCGCAAGGTTAGAAGGGCAAAAGGGAACAATATTCAATAATAAGAAAAATTTCGGAAAGCGGAAAAATTGAGGATTTAATTCAGCGCAGAAAAATAATGAAAATCAAATAAAACACAAAAAAATATAAGAAGTTCGATGATTTTATCTGAGTAAAAAAATAACCCTTCATCTCCATCTGGTATTACTTTTCGTTCAACGCCACCAACTGCAAGGATACATGATTGTGGTGGATTTATGATAGCTGAGAAACTGTTGATACTTCCAAACATACCCAAATTAGAAACGGTGAAAGTCCCACCCTAAAAGTTTTAATTAATAATAACGCTAAATGTTTTTCATCAGCTATCTGCAAAATTGATGAAATATCCGATATAAGGACCTGAAATTCGTGAAGCTGAAGCTTTCCTTGACGGGCTTTTTCAGCTAGAACTTTCACTTCAGAACTTATAGTAGCCAGTCCCTGAAAACGATAGCCTTCAGTGCTAACATTATTGGAAAAAAAACTCGACAATATGTGGCGAAATTTGATAAGATATGAAAACAACCTTGCCATCAGCGTTGAATATTATAGGTGTAATTAAGCCACTGTCAGTACTGACAGCAACTGAGATATCGACATTGTTATTGCAACGAATAAATGTACCCATAAAGAAACTATTAGTTTCAGGCACTTTTTTACATGCAAGAGCTGAAGCTTTGATAACAAAATCGTTTACTGAGAGCTTCTGCCGATCATTTTCTTTTTTTGACTTCGCTAACAATTCATTTAAATTCGACCGTGTCCTAGAATGAACAATATCATTATTCTATTTCAAATCATATCAGGTTCTTGGATAACAAATCGGACCAACTGCTGCAGAAGATAATTAATAAGATATTTCTGATTGGGCTCGATAAGAATTAAGAATTTCGGAAAACCTGTACGGAAACACAGGCTCTTCCTATTATTTTTCTTTTTAAGAGTCCTCATCATTACTGGTTAGACTCGAGCCGCTGGCTTGCACTGGACAAATATGTGAGGGAGTCTCTTGCGATATAAATACAGGTGAATAGCCAGCATCACCCGGATTTTTGAAAAGGTTTCTCTTTGGAGAGGTCGAGATTAGAACCTCAGCATTGGCGCTCCGAATTGAGCAACAACCCACTGAGCCATTCTCTCGTTACTATTAAGATTTTTTAATGGTTCCTATCAGAAGCAAGATCCAAATTTAGAATTCGAGACGATAATCTGAGCAAGGTGCACTTGGCTCCTCTGCCCACAAATGCAACTGTAATGATGCAATTGTCCCTAAAATCTTTGAGGTAGATTATGTCTTCAGAGACTTTCAAATGAATTTTAAATATATAGATGAAAAACATATTTCTGCGAAGGAAACCCTAAGACAAAGAAGTATAAGAAATATAACAAACTGAAAAGTGATAAAACGGTAGGTAAAAAATTTTAGAATGTTGATTTGATACAAGGTATTAAATTAAATAACACAATTAAAAAAAATATTTTTGACATACTTACTCGAGTAATAAATCCATGCGAATTTCAGATGTTAGATAATAGTGGGGAATGGTGCTTTTGCTTTCCAGAAGTCGCTTTGCAATAGTCATTCTCATGTTACTCAATGGTATATCAACAAACGTGGCTCCTGCAGAGACAGGTCCGCTTGGTGCAATCTCAGCAGCCCGAGGAACGCCTTTAGATAAAGCATTTTCAACATCTTTACCTATGATACGTCCACCAGGTCCAGTGCCAACAATGGTCTACAAATGACTCAGTTGTGAATCTGAACAAAGTAAAAAATACTCTTCTCAAAAGTAATAACTTATACAATAACACAGACCAAAGAAAACAAACCGCTAAATCTATGCCTTTATCAGCAGCTAATTTTCTTGCCATCGGACTAGCGATTATACGACCGCTTGAGGTTCTTGGTGTTGGCGAAACATCTGATGGTGGAGTTGATATGGAAGCACTAGAAGCAATTGATAGTGGAGGAGGAGCAACAGATAGTGACGGAGTCTGGGCTTTGGTAAACGGCTGAGATGCAACAGTATCAACAGGAACATAATTTGCAAATGCAGCTACATCATCTTTACTGTTTACTATCACACACAGTGGCTGCAATATTAAATAAAATATGATAAAATAAAAAAATATCTAATACTTGCCAGATATTCTTTGAATTAAAATTGCAGACCTTTCCAACAGGAATACCTTTCGTTCCTTCTGGTATAATAATCTTAGCCAGATAACCTTCTTCTGGTGTTTCGAAAGACATTGTAGCCTTATCAGTTTCAATCTCACAAAGCACATCACCTTCTTCTAATTGATCTCCTTCTTTCTTTAGCCATGAAACAACGCTACCTGTCTCCATAGTAGGTGAAAGAGCAGGTAAAGATATCTGATTATGGGAGGGAAGAGCTCCTGAAAAATCATCTTTTTTCTCACCATAAATGAAATGAAATTTACAATGAAACATTTAAAACAACTTGAAAAAAGCCAAAAGATGACTTCCTTTCTGTGCTCATAGATAAATAAAGAGATTTTTGATGAGAATGATAAAATCACAAATGAACGCCATTAGCTTATTTATTATTTCCACTTTAGTACGTAAGTTTTTGAATTTATTTTTTATGTTGTTTTAGAGGCGTTGTTACTTGAATTTATAATAACAATATTTTGACGAGAAAGGAAATCTAGAACTCATGAAAGCACAAGCAAACGATTATTAATCCCTTTTTTGTTACACTTCTATTGAGATTATTTTTCGTAAAATCAAGCGTAAAACATGAAGAAACATATTTTCCTACTTGTCCAAAGAAAATGCATTCGAACAGAACATAAATTTAAATCCATAGTCTTTCCAAAAAATACTAATCCAAACACATAAGAGAAAAAATTTTAGAAATATTTTAACCCTGTGCTGACTGAACTTGAGGTGGTGAAGGAGTAGCAGAACGGTCAGAATGGCTGCTACCATCATCAACATAATTTGCAAAAGCATTAACATCTTCTTTATTCGAGACGATTATGCACAGCAACTGAAAAAAAAACAAATTAAAATGGAAATTATTCATGGACTACAACAGATTTTTAAACTTTTTTACCGCAAATATTCAATCCAATTAAATCAATAAAACTTGTTCTATCAATCAAATGATTTAAAATAATTAAATAATTATAACTAGAATATGCATAAATAATTCACCTTTCCAACTGGAATACCTTTAGAGCCTTCCGGTAAAATGATTTTCGCTAGAAAACCTTCTTCAGGCGTCTCAAATCCCATTGTTGCTTTATCAGTTTCAATCTCGCAGAGCAGGTCTCCCTCATCGAGACGATCTCCTTCTTTTTTTTGCCAAGAAACGACATTTCCTGTTTCCATTGTTGGTGACAATGCCGGAAGAAATATTTTATTATGAGTTGGCAATTTTTCTGCAAAAAATTTCAAAGAATCCCTAAAAACAAAGGCTTATTTTCATTTATTCCCAATCAAGATCAAATAAATTTAATGGAATTATTTAGAAAAAATTTTCATACCAGAAGAATAGGTTCGCATATTCGTAAAAACATATTCCTTTGAATAAATTAAATGGCTGAATGACTTTTTGGAACCAGAAATATCGTTTCCTGATTGAATAATTGATGCATATCTCCTAAAATATAATTTGCTAGCAATCAGCAAGTAATTAAAAATATATTAAGCAAAGCACTAGTAAAATAGAGTATTAAATAAATCTCATGAAGACAAATCCTTAATTTTTTTTCAGCAATTATCCAATTGAACTGGAAAGAAATTCGTAATACAAGTCATTACAATAGGTTATTATTTATTTTAGAGGTCTAACTGCAAAAAAGCTAAAAAAAATGAGGATAACGAACACCTGAGTAGATGCAATTCTGATAAAATTATGCAACCGTGCACTAGAAGAACGATTTAAAAAATTCCATGTTAAACGTAGATTAACTGAAACTGAGCTGCGCGACAACTTTAACAGTGTTAACATTACTTACAGACCGCTTGCAAAAATTCAATCTTTTCTAATTCGTCTGAAAAAAAAAGGAAATTTTTTTATTTATTGCATAAATTCATAAAAAATTATCAACAGCGAACGAAACATTTACCAAGAATTTAGATAACTCATTCTGCTTTTGCAAGTAGAACTGCAAAAACGACAAAACTGCTTGTACAAGTAGAAAACTGCAAACCAAAACGCAAGCAGAATTGCATGCAACACTTGCATAGTATGCATGCATGCAAAGCTGCAAGCAACCTGAAAATCTATTTTTCAAATGCCAAAAAAGGAGAAAAAATAGTTGAAAAATTTCTAAGCAATTACAAGAAATTTATTTAAAAAATTGAATTTAAGGGAAATTAATTTCTTAAAAAATCTTTAAAACAAATATTAAAAACATAAAACCTTTAAAATAGTTTAGAAAATAAATAAAATAAGGAAATAAAAGAATTCAAAAACAGAAAATATATTAAGTAAAAAATATATAGATGAATTTTATGATGGAGACATGATAACCGAGTAGCTGTTACTCGGACCATAGCCTCCAGCGTTCCAGTCTCTGTCTGACAGAGTGCCTGCCATAAAAAAATCCGGCAGTTGACTTCTTGTCAAGTTGTCAAGTGACTCCCTGGCAAAATTTTTCATCAAAGTAACAGCGACTGAAATGAACTTAACCAGAAATGGTGAATGCGAGCTTTTTTTAAATCTTAAGGAACTTGAGGAGCTTGAGACCAACCTTGAAAAGTAACAGAAAAAATATGAAAAAAAATATAACCAAACTTGCAAATTTCTTATTGTAACAGCACTCACCATGTCTGACTTAGTCATTTCTACTGGTTATTGAGATCTCTTCATAAGAGAGTCACTAAAGAGAAAAACCTATAGGAACACTGATTTGAGAGGGTGAAGGCATATGAAGAATGTTCGAGTCCTCCGAGCATTTACTGCCAGAACACTCTGTCGCCAAATGATTCTCGAAAAGTCGCATCCTAACAGCCAATAGAAGCAGCCAAACCAGAAGCGATAAGAGTTGTCCGAAGAAAAGAGTAATAAATGAGTTTGCGTGCAATAGCACAGCTCAGTTCGAATAACTTAAAAAAATAAATAAAATAAAAGCAAAATAAAATTAAACTTAATAAAATTACCTTAAATTTTGTCAATAAAAATTTGAAAAGACAAAAATAAATGTGAAATTTTTGCCTTAAAAAAATGTTGAAAAGAACGGAAAAATATGAATTTTTTGAAATTCATTTTTTATAATTTAAAAAGAATTTTTATAAAAATAATTCGACGAAAAATTGCTTACATTAATCGAGAAAAAGCAGTACATTGATTTATGATAAATTTTACGCAAAATTCATCCAAAAAATCAATTCAAATTTTAGATTTTATCGATTTATTCGTTATTAAAAGCAAAAGAAACAACAGGATGGACGACCTATGACCTTGTAAAAATGAGAAAAGAGAGGAGCAAATATTTCCGCACAAATCGATTCAGCAGCAAAGTATTTGACATCAAAGCCGACAATTAAATATTCATTATGATATACCGCGATAATCTCTAGAGTAAGGTTTTTTTGCCATATTTTTTCGTGGATCGATGATAAATGGTTAGGAATTGGCTGTTTGTTGATAAAAGGGTATTTGGTAACTCGATGAAATGGCTGGATAGCAAAGTAATCGCGAAAGAATTCTCATTCATTCACGTATAAAATTTGCTGGTAATTGTCAATATGATAAATAATTAGCAGATAGAGTTAACCAATGATGAAAGGCTAAATATATAGCCTAGTGGCGTGTGGTGTTGACCTACTTTTCCTTCTGTCGCCATGTAGTACCATGAGAGGAGAACATTCTAACCACATTAACAGCCAACGGAGCTGATCTAAGCAGAAAACCCACTTACTTTTTAGCAGAGCGCAGCCATATGTTGGAGAAACGATAAACGAAAAAAAAGCAGAAATGTTAGAATCAGTGAGAACAAGGCATTTCTTTATAGATTCCTCCACTAAAAGGCAGCATAATTAGTACCACAAAAGCTATGTGCTTGTAGAGGCAAAGCAGTAAAACAGAAAAAAACCGCTTGGGCCGAAATCACAGATGAAAAGGTCTTAGCAGTTTCGTGAGTTATTTAAATTGGATAATTATTATTTCTCGCAGTTTTCCCTCAAAAGCAAAGCTTTGCCGGCTGCATTAGGCAATTTGCTGCAATAATTTGTGGCACGGAAGTCGTCATTTTCCAGCTTTTTTCAACATATATGTGCTTTAATCATTTCAATTCTTTCGTTATTATTGCACAAATTTGAGATTTGAAAACTATAAAATTTGTTACATTCCATATTAACGTAAATTACCGAGTGCTGTTTGATCGTTCTGATTTGTAATGAATCCGTTTTGTATAATTCAAACTTTTTCATGATCATTTAAACAATTTGAATAGATTTTATTTCTAATAAATAACGAAAAATTTCGAAATATTTTAAATGCTCGGATAATTTATTGCGAAGGGTAATTCTGAGGACGCGAGGAATCTGCTATTTTCTGTAAAATCGTAAACATTAGTCGAGGAGATCTAATAAAGTACTCATAGCACTCGTAACACTGTTGCCATGCAGTTTAAAAATGGCAGAATTCTCTGGTGTTTGCTATTCAGCGTGTTTTATGCATCGGTGTTGTGATATTGTGATCACTGTTAGAGGCGATTCTAAAATATACTTGCACAGCTTAAAAATCAACTCTCTCGTTTGGGATCGCCAAATTTTAGCGTCGTTCACCATCATTAGTAGTGCAGTCAAGAATTCGTATCTCAAGCTTCTAGATAGACGAGCAATTCGTGTCCGCCGTTATTAGAAATAATCTGTGTTTCAAATGCAGACAGATTATCAGTTTTTGCAGCAAACAATTCAGTGATTTCTAATCGCATATTTAAAACGATGTTCTTATAATCCAAGTTTAGCATAACCATAGTTGACCACTTTTGTCAGAAATTCATCCATCGGTATGAGGAAATGAATATTCTTTAGAACGCAGCTGTGACTCGTGTTCCCAGTTATTTCCCAGGTGTTCCCAGAGCAGCATGAGCACGATGTTTGATTTCTTTATATATCCTGCATAGATTTACCAATAGAAGGTGGGAATGGAAAAAAGTGGGAGATAAAACTAATAAAAATGGTCCAAAATATCCATGGAATATTATTATGAAAGAAAAAAGAAGAGCGCGACATTCTTGGACGATTTCGTGATTCATCGATAGCATTTATAAGTGAAATAACTATAATAACTTGTAAAGGACTGGCTGATAAATGGTAGAGAATTAGCTGATTGCTAAGGAGTTAGTTGATAGTCGTTAAAATGTTGTAATTGATAAAGAGATGGCTAAAAGTTATTTAAAAGTTAGCTGATAATTGATATCTGATAAAAAGTCGGCTGTGGAAGCAGATCAAACGCTTAAATGGTGAGGAGCACTTTGATTAAGTAAAAATGACAGCAGTACATACGGTGAATTCTGCAAGAATTTTGCAATATGAGACTGAAATAGAAATAACAAACAGAAAGTATGGTAACATTTGTTAAAGTGTCAAAATCATGAATCAAAACAAGAGCATTAAGATGTATTGAATCTTTCAGTAAGAGGCTGCTTGGTACTATTAATTCTGCTGAGCTCCGTTTATCCTATCCCTGAGTTTTCGCTTTCGCCATCCGGTTGCAGCCCCACAAATGGTAAATAGCTGGAGATAGATGTAAAGTGGATCATCAGCAACAGTAGGAAGCAGGCTGATTGCATTGTGGGTTAAATAGGAAATCGATATTAGTTTATAATTGCACAAAATCATCAGTAAAAGTCAATCCGCAGTTACTGACAATTTGCAAAATTTGATAAAATCTATTCACAGCCTTCATTCAAAAAAATCCTTCGAAGGATAGAGCACTGCGAATCACAAACGGCCCACAAGCCTCACTTTGTCCAGACTGCGCTGGAAAATTGTAAAACCCAGTGAAAGATGTTGAAAATTTATAAGAGATTGTCTGGCTATTGATAAAGAGATGTTTTTAGATGAGACTTGATGGTTGTTGATAAAGAGTTAGCTCACTGATAGTTCTGGTGATTCACTTGTCACCGCCAGGTCACTTCCAAAGATATTTCTCCAATAACTCCTAATTTCTCGCCATACCAGTCTACTTTAATTAAAAATAATGATCGCTAAATAACTTTTTTTCAAAAAAAGATTGTTGTTGATTCATAATTGTTTTTCTCTAGCATTTATGACAAAATGGTGAAAATTGATGATGAGTTGTTGACTTGATAAAGAGAGATGCCATTATTCACTGATAACGGTTTGTCTAAAAATTCAAATTGAGAACAGTTGGCAATTAAAAAAAACTTTTTGAAAAATTTTCATTAATGAGCATAATAAGCAAGTATTATATTTCAAGAGTGCAAAATTTTGATCGCATTTTTCGATTATTGCGAGCCTGAAAAAATATCTGTCGCAAAAGGCGAACACACAAAAAAAACGAATTAAATTTCTCAAATAAATGCTGTGAATCAGCATATAATCTTAAATTCCATTTCCTTTTTTATACCCAAAAAAAACCTAATTTATCATACCAAATCTCACATCTATTCAAACATAAACAAGTAACTATATTTTTTGTTACACACATCTGTTAATTATGCGCTGCATGCGTTATTTATATATATATATATATATTGGACCAGCAATTGAGCCGCATCCCTTCCGTTTCAAGTCATTTTCGCCTGTCCAACCTCATATACTAAATCTCGCCAGTCTCTTCGCAATAGCCTCAGTCCTCCACAATAATATCTGAATCGCAGTTTTTTAAAGTTTTTGTCGCATATCCTTTCCATCTCAATATATTTTTAGTGCTGCTAAAACCATAGCAGTGCCATCTCCAAACATCTTGCAATGCTTAACGTTGATTTAGTGAATATTGGTCATTGCTCATTTTTCTTTAATTTTTCTTTAACCTCGCATCTGGTTCAGCTGGCTATGCCTTTTCCAAGCCTCTCGATCACATGCCATATTTGTAAGCAACAGAAGCCATTCCCTTTTCCATCTCTGGGCTTATATATCCACTGCTTCGTCTTTATAGTAAATAAATGCACAATTTTTAATATAATGTCTGTTTAAATTTATTGTGGATATATTGGATATTAATGAGCCATAATGACTTAATGACATTTTAAAAAAATCAAGGCCAACGACCTTTCTTGCCATTTTTGTTCTTTCAGTGGCTGCCATTTATTACGATTGAACCTTTCCTAAACGTTTTTTGAAAACAGAAACTAATTTTTTTAAATTCCTAATGGATTTTCTACCATTTCTTAAGCCATTTCTTTCATTCTTTAAACTGTTGTCGAAACGCGAAAAAAATTCGCCAGTGTATCGCATCCATATGCTTTGATCGAAATTTAAAGTATGAAAATTTTTATAGGCGCTATTTTGATTTATAGGTTATATCCGAGAATTTTTGGTAAACGTGAAGCATTTCTGGTTCGGCTGCCCCTAGTAACTATACAACACTCTAGCCAGAGAATCACTTCATGCGATCAGCACCACTCGGACCTTACTTTCATTGATAGAATTATTTCTATAATAGGACGGCAATTGGGTGAGTCCTGCTTCGCACTTCTCTTATCAGTCAATAACAATAGCGTAACCACTTAACCATTGTACTTTCTGCGAATACACCATTATTTGCTTGGCTCCAACCGCACGGTTGTGTCCAAGTACAAAATTTGGCAGAGCAGTTATTTCGATCAGTTTAGAGACCATTTCTTAGTGTTTTCTGGAAATATCGGCGAATATGGATGAGAATCAAAAATGGAAAAAAAATCTAAAAAAACAGAATTATTCATTATTATGTGATAGGAAGGCTATCCAATTAAAGATTTTTTAGAGATTAATGGGTAAATTTTGCTTTTTTCAACATTTTATTTGCAAAAGAAAAAATTTTCAACTGTTTATGTTTTTAACTTTCTTAACACTTAAAATTTTTCAAACTTTGTTTTGTCACATTGTTTCTCGCATTTTTTCGTTCAGAAATCGATTTCAGAGAATTTTTTAGAGTTATGTGCGACCATTTAGTTCGCTATTTTTCATTCGTTTCCCTCATTTTTTGTAAGAAAAATGTAATATGAAGAAATAAACGAACGAAACGAATGAGAAAACAGAATATTTGTTTATTTATTTACTTCCATCTGACTGAAGGTTTCTCGTTAATGCTCAGTATAAAAGCCATTAGAGCTGCGATGGTCGAGTGGTAGATTATTGTAGGTCGGGCAAAAAGACCGTCGCCCACTGAGGGGAGTAAGCCAACTGGTAAAGTAAAATCTAGATGGTGCCAACTCTGTTTATACTCCCAAAAGGATATTAGTGCAGCAATCAATAAAGCCAGCTATGTCAGAAATGGTGAATGCTTTCAGAAGTTAGAGGCATTTTGGATAAAAGAGGTAACTGAACCATGAGAAACACACTTTGGTTCTGTGTTTCTTCGACTAGGGGTGAGCAATATGGGTGAGATTTGTGACTCTTTACGTTGAGGGAGAATGGAAATGTCATTAAAAGTCTGAAATCTAGATGAATATTGAAGATCTACCTGTTTATCCCATCTCTAAATGGCTTAGAGGATTAACTAAGCGCCTAATTATATGATGTTTGTTTGCATAAAACTTGCTTTTAATCTATATGTTATAGAAAACAAAACCATTGTTTATTAAACAGAGAGGCCTTAACGATAATTTATGATAAATGATAAACGAATGAATGCAGCGAAAGTGGGAGCGTTTTTAAAATTCACATCAAGCGGCTGTTTTTCTGCTTAGCTCATATAACTTTTAGAATGGGTGTTAGATTGGTTGCTTTTTTTACTGCTCTTGCTGTGGAATGTGCTGCTTTACTAGATCAGTCCATTGCTGTTAAGGGGAAATTGCTATGTGGTGAAGCACCAGCGGCTAATGTCCGAATAAAACTATGGGACGAAGATGATGGTTAGTTTCAAGTAAGAATTTATAAATAATGTCGCGTACTCAGCTCATAGCAGTTGTTTTTAGATGAATTAGGTTCGATGCTATGATCTGAAACATTTAATGGATTTCTTTTTTCCATAAATGGATTTCCCGGCTTAATTCGTTTATGTTAGAAATTTTAGGATTCTTTCAAGGTTTTTTCTGATTTAAGATGATTTCACCATATACCGAGTATATCGAAAATATCTGAGTGTGGCTTATAGTAATTATCTAAATTTCCTGAAGTTCTCAATTACTACTCACCTCTTTATTTCAGGTCCTGATCCAGATGATCTTCTTGATCAAGGATATACTAGTGCTACAGGTGAATTCAAACTCGAAGGCGGCACAAGTGAATTAACATCAATCGATCCTGTTTTTAAAATTTATCATGATTGTGACGACGGCATAAAGGTTTAAAATTTTTTATCCAATTTTTAAGATTTTTTGTTTATTTCAATTTAATTTTTAATTTATGATTAATCTACTTAAATTATTCGTATCACAAATTACAATCGAATGTAGTAATGTTTTATTACAAACGGTATTTTTTTAAACTTTCCTTCACTGAGGAACTTTAAGCCTGGTCAACGAAAGGTTAAATTCCAACTACCGTCGAAATACATTACTAATGGAAAAGTAGCGAAAAAAGTATTTGACATTGGTACCATCAATCTCGAAACAATATTTCTAGTATGTTTTTTTATTTTTTCAAATTTTTTTTGTCATTCAGTCACTTAATTCGAAGGTTTTATTATTCTTTTCTTTCATTTTCATTATTTTCCAGTACCTCCAAAAAAGTGAATTTTCTTATAAATCTGCTAAAAAAATAATAGAGGGATTCTCCTTGAGTGGTTTAGATGAAGGGAACGGTTAAAACTCAAGGTCTCTTCTTTTCTTATATCTTGATCTATTTTATTTAAAAGAGTTCTGCGCCCCATATAACCAATGCACTTCACATTTTTTGTCATGAATATGATAAATAGATTTAGTAGTATTTAGCTTGTTAGGAAATAATAATTTTTTGCTAGTTCTGCTTGGGAGATTTAAGAAATTAAATAATTAAAATATTAATTGGGAGATTAGAACAAGTGGACGAATTTTGTTCGGCTGTGTAATGTTTTAAATAATAAATTTTCGTTGAAGGCAACTTTATCTAAACAATGATAAAACTTGGAAAAATTCTTATCGGTTTGTGAATTAAGGCTACTTTTTTACTTCCTTCTTCGAATATTTGGAAAATTCATAAAATTTAACGAAATTTTATTCGCTTCAATGCGATTAAAAACAAGTTTGAACAATCGAAAAAAGGAATTTTCCGCCTGCCCATCGAAAATAAAAAGTTCCTTTTAAATTCATGTGTGAAAAAAAGTGATTAGCGCTATTTCTAGTTGAACTCGCTTTGCTGACAGCTGAGATCAGATTCTTTAGGAATCACATAAGAAAATAAACACAGATAGGTACCCAATGGATTTTTTAAATGAGGGACCTCTTAGGGAGGTAGCTGACGAACCAGGATGCTCGATTTGAGAATCTAATCAACAATCAATCATTTTGAAATTCTGCCACTTCCCGTGAAGAAAATTATAATTTACTCCATATTTCAGAAGGAGGAACGAGAACTTACAACTTCGTAAGAAGAAATTTATGGAAAAAATTGAATGAATGAAAAAGGATAATTCTTTTTAAATTTTGAAATATCAATTTCTTTCATTTCTTTTGCATTTAACAAAATAAATAAAATAAAAATAAATAAATTAACAATTAAAAAGTTGAAGATAAAATTAATCATTTTTTCTCATATTTCTTTTTCACACATTTGAATGTATTTTAGAAAAATTCAAAATTAGACTGATTCTAGTAAAGTTTTATTTTTCTAAATAAATTTTCAATCCGAATGGAACTCTATCGACCAATTTATATAAATTATGGTTGTGCTGATCATGCTGATTGTTCCAAATTTTTTCCTTATCAACATGCTCAACTCATAAGGCTTTTGACTCATAGTGGATTTAAGCAAGCGAAGGAAATTTTCGAACTCTTTTGTGCTGGGAAATTTATATCGAAACTCCTTCTTTTAAGAGTAGTTCTATTTCTTTGAGTAACTTGAAGATAGAAATATAGACGGGATCAGTATCAGTAGTGTTTCATTAAGTTAATTTCCTCGAAATATAGGGATCGAACTTAATGGTCGCTCGATAACTTAACCTTAACTGAAATCATGTGCAACTCGACTACTGTAAACCAGAAAGTAGAAAATAAAGAAAGAAGAGAGTAGATAAGCTTCAATGTGAAGGAGTTTAGCGACTGATTTCCTTTATATGAACTATTTTAAATAAAAATGCTGATGGAACTATTCAAAAACAATAGTTCGGTCTATGCTTTATGCATGAATAAAAAATTCGGGTGGAGGTAAGCACTCGCTATATTTCTAAGCCCAACCGACTCTCTGGCGAAAGTATCATTTTGATAGCCAGGAGAACCAGTTTAATCAGAAAGACTTAAAGTTAAATAGAATGCTTTATGAATGAAATTCGGTAGTATTTAGGGGATTTTTATTTAAAAAGCTGCTGCAATTATAAATGGAAGACAATGGAAACAGCTAAAAATTTTTAGTTTCATTCAGTTATTCAATTAGAAAAATTAATTCAATAGGCCCCTTAGGCAAATTATGCTACTTGTGAGACTTTACCTATTCATAAAATTTAATTTTTGTACAATAAAAAGTTTCCTTTTCGCTTAACAACACTCGTAATTTCTGGCTCAACTGACTATAATAAGGCGACATCAGAGATTAGAAGCACAAGTGCATAACTAATAAGCACTCCCGCAGAGCCAAACTCACGAACTCGCCTGAAGCAATTTACTCGAGTATCCCCCAGCAGCTGTAAATTGAACGAGGAAAATAACACGAAGATGAAACACGAATTAATTACCTCCCTCAAATAAACGAACAATCCTTTTGCCGCAAGAGAGTTTAGGGTCGATGAGCACTTGGCACGCACGGAAAGTTCTGCACGGCTCGATCCTTTAAAGAGAAAACCGAGCTTCCACGAGCGATGAAAAATTGATCTTCCGCTTTTTTCGCGTTTCTTTACTTGTCTATTCCTTTCTCGAAATCAGTGCTTCCCCAACGACGTTCGCGCGTCCCAAAAAACACCTCCGCAGAAGCGTTCACTTCGTTACGCGAACCAAGCACATTTCCATGGTCGCAAATACTGCAAAATAACCGCAAGTTACGACGAAAACAGCTTCACAATATGCGCACTCTTCGCTGCACAATTCACTCAAATTAATAAGTTTTATTAAATAAGCGCGACAATTTCCCTTCCAAATAATTTTCTATTTGTCGGCTTCAGATTATTCAAATTTTTTTCCCGTAATCATTCTCGTGTTAAGTTTGAGATTGTTTCCGATTTCGTGGATTCGTGTTTGGTAAATTGGTTATTTTAGTTTTTAGTCGGTTTTTCTAAATTCCTTAACAGATTTTATTTATATTAATATTTGCTTTTTCCCATCAATGCGATTGTTGTTTTTTATTCTCGAAATAGTCTTTTCCAAGGCTTCTAAGACATTTTTTATTTCTCAGAAGGCAGTTCGTTTCATTTACCAACTTTGAGTCATTATCGCTGTCGCGTATGTGGCTCGCCGAGCTGTCCCTTGTCGAGATTATCGTGTCACTGTGAGTGCTGAAGCTGATTAAGGAGTCGCGCCGGCAGCCTATCTCCACGTTTGTCGCCATCTAGCTTCCTCTCGGTGCACTCCTCTCGATGCTTCCTGCAATGCACTCTAACAGCCATCGGAATGAGCCCAGCTAGTACCGCCAGACTGGTTGCTAATCATTTACTTCTTACATTCTATTACTGTTATTATTTTTTTATTATTTCTCTTATTTCTCTTATTATTTCGACCAGCGTTATTTTTTTTATTACTACTTCTGTTGTATATTATTAATTTTATTATTACTGCTGTTATTGCCGTTGTGATTACTATTTTCTTTCTCAGCATTATTCTTAGCTTATTCTTAGCTTTTTTCCAACTATTCAAGAATATTGGTCGGATTTATTTGTAAAGTAATGAAGTTGATTGAAGTACTTACATAGATGTGGAAATTCCGTGAAGCTGAATCCGAAGAGATTCTTTACCTATGTTTGTTATTGTTAATGTCAATTTTTCATTATATTTAATGTGTATAAATATTTTAGTGTTAAACAATCGTTGATATAGCAGCAGCAATTTTACTAGAAAGGGGATGGCGAATATGCAAGGGTTAGTGGATCAACGAGTGATTGATGGTATTGTTGCTGGCTATTTAGTACGTCAAAATGTACGTAATATTGCTTGTTTCGTTTCGGCTGAGCCACAAAAAATTTATTTCATTAAAGCTTCATTGTTATCCAAATTTTTTTGTGATACCTTTGGGTAGACCTTTTCCAGCGGACAGATTTCAGTAGCCCTATAAATCTAAATGAGGAAGAGTTTCTCTCTTCATTTTTATTAGCTTCTGATATTTTTCTTTTCCTCTGATTCGAAAAAATTATGAATAAAAATAGATAAAAAGGCATAGTATAAATAGTATCTGTGACTTATTGTAAATTACAGATTTGCAAATTGCGTTATTTTTTTATACTTTATTTTGCCTTATGCATTTAATTACTCCGAGAAGGGATCCTTTGGCTTGAAGGGCAAGTTCGTGGGTTTCATCATAAGACGAAGGGAGTCCATCGCGTAAAAAAAATGAAAGAACTCCAACGTTTTTTCCTTTTTTTGAGGTTTTCTTTTCATCTATTTTATTTTAGTTTCAGTAAACTAAAAGAATGAAAGCAATAAATGATATTTTAGTATGTAAAATCATTGGATTGTCTCATGGAAGAATCAACTGTTCTTAGACAATTTCGTAAAAGTGGAACATCATTCATACTTAATGATTGTATATATGGAAAAAATCTCGAAGAAATCATCAAAGTGATTTTTTTCCGAAGCGAGATTATTGATCATTCCTTAAATTTTGCAATAATTTTAATGAAAATATTAAAAATAGATAAAAAAAAAAGAAGTATTCAAGAGGTATTAGAGGTATTTAAGAGGTCATCTCGTATGTTTTAGCGTTTTGTGCAGTTTGGAGATTTCGAATTACCTTCTACATTTCTTGATTTTGGCCTTAAATTGCGTACATTAGCAAATGAATATACAGCTCTTACTTCGCCTGATAGGTTTTGGTCAGATGCTCAAAAAGTATTATATGGTCGATGTGCACCTCCATTCGAGTTTGTTTCTTTTTTTTTTTCAAAAATGCGTTCGTCATCGATTTTCTTCCCATATTTAGTTCTCTCGACGCATACAAATTAAAAGGCTGATTTTTTTTATCTTTTATATGATTGCATAATTGTTTGCTAATCGACCATTTTTATTTTTATTATTCAGAAAATGTGCTTCGGTTTATGCAGTTCCACAGAGCATGGATAATGATGTGGAAAAGATTCATCAACAAATGAATAATAATAACAATAATGATCAGTCGAAACCCTCGAAAAACGTTACTAATAGCGCCAATACCTCAGAATCCTCTTCTTTACGCAGGTTTTTTTTTCTGGAAGGGGGAGGAGGAGAACTTTATGTTCAATTTTTTCTTTGATTTTGTTATTCTGTTTTTTTAAATAAATATCTATATTATTATTCTGTTAGCATAGTTTGTTATCACATATTTTTCTTCGTCTAACAACGCACATGATTACGAGTTATGCAAGCTGACTATAAGACTAAGGCATTTTTAAACTCTTCATGTTTGAAACTAACTGAAGCCATTCTTTTTTCTACTGTCTGTACATATATATTGTTGAGAAATTTGCATCTAGAATCTGTCCTAACCATATGAATCCACATCTTGATTGGTATTCCTTGCTATTCCACACTATCGAGGTTTTTTGCCAGTTCTTGTGAAAAGAAGTGGCAAAGAATATACTTTAACTAGTAACACTATTACATCGGATGCTTCACACTGAGTTCAAATATCTGTTTTAAAATTTTTTTTAGCATGAATTTTTCAAGAGTCTTCTTATAATTAATAATTAAGAAAATGTCCCTTGCCTGTTAGTATGGAAGCGAAACGAAAAGAATTATTAAAGGAAATTGTGGAGCCAGTTGTGCATTCCGCTCAGCAGTATTTTGATGGTGGTATAAACGCAAGTCATGATTCGTCTCATTCGGTTCGAATGTTTTGCAATATATAAGTTTATAAGTATATAGCGGATACAAGTTGCTGATTGCAAATGTTTAATAGCATTTTCCCGCTTAATTTGCATAATTGAAGTTCTTTGAATACAGCTGTACCATAATTAGGCGAAAAATTTTTAAAAATTTGACTTTATGAATATAAAAAATTGTTTGTAGACATCTTTCCCATTGGTCGACGACAGTATTATTGGTTCACTTGATCGCTTCATATATAATGAACATTTTGAAGAGCTGATTGAGAGTATTGAATGTGAAATGCCCTTAAATTTGACAGAATATTTTGACACTTCGAGTGGAATCGAAGAAGAACGTAAAAGTGGTCAAGCAGTACGCCAGGAAATCAAATCTGGTCAAGAAAGTCTTGAGACATCAGATGTGGTTAGCTTGCAGCGTATTTTAATAGCCTGGTTGGAAGCTTCGAAGAAAAACAATAAGTTTTTTTGATGTTTGAAGAAAAGCATGATTCCTCATTTTCGCGAAAGATAGATTAGGGCACCAGACTACATGGTATAGACTTTATATAATAATGTCATATATTTTATTCAGATCGATGAGCGTTTTGACGTGGATAACCAGAATTTATCGAATATTCCGCTTGAGGTTTCTTCATCTTTTCCAAGCACATTCACGGAGCCGCAATCTCTTGTGCTTTCTTTATCTGAGCTTCAGCAAAACTCAACAGAATTTTCGAAAGAAATATCTTATCCGAAGGTTTTATCTTCTATTTCAAAATTTTTTTAATCAAACTCATAATTAAACACCGGTTATTTAATATTTTATATTTTTCTTCTTTAGATAAGTAAAATGACTTCTTGACATGGCTACTTTTTTAACGGTTACTTTTTATCTTTATTTGAGATTAGAATATGAGAAAATGTGTATATGCAATAGGGATAAAGTTCATGGAATAGAATAAAGCGTTTATGCAACCTCTTATTGTTAATCTCAATTTATTATTTTATCAAAATAAACTTTATTATAAATTCATTTTATTTCTTAATTTAGAACGTCATAAGATCTGAAATTGGCCGATTGAATTATAGAAAATCTTCTCGAGCATTTGAAAACAGAAAACCAGTATCTTTTTTTTATTTACCATTCATTTACATTTTTCATATCTTTTAGAACCTCATTTAATCTTTTCTTTTCTCCTTTGATACTTTTTTTCAGGCTTTGAAAGAAAGCACTCTATTCAAGGATCGAGTCGAATTTTCATCTTTTAATATTTCTGAGGCAGTTGGTTCTTTCACCTCCAATGAAGAAAAAAGTGTAATAAACCAGAAGAATAGTTCACAGTGCAGACCAAATATTCGGAACCTTGAAGATGTTAAAAATGAAACGATTTTTAAAACTGGTGTTGGAATTGCAATGCATGAAGAGCACGAAAAAAAAACAGAAAGCGGAAATAAATATATCACTCCTTTGTTTAAGCAGATTTGTTCAGGAAATGATTCCGATCACTCGATATCGGTGCTTAAAAGAGATGGTGAAGAAACCACTAAAACTAGTGGCTTCTTAGAAAATGTCTTGCCAGTGGGAATAAGTAAAGAAAAAATTTCAATTGCTTCTCAGTTAAATGAGGAATCAAATAAAGATAAGATCCAAGATTCATCAGTTTCGAAAGAAAAGAAAATGCATGGAGCTCTTAACAATGAGGAAACGTCTGGAGAAAAAGTTTTCCCAATTGACAAATCAGAAAAGCATGTTGATCAAGAACCACGTAAAAAATACAGTGAAGAATGTAACAAGAAATTTATGCAAAAAAAAGATAAAGAAAGCGATCAAAGTAATCGAGCTAAAATTGGTTCACAGAAAAATAAAAAGAATGGCAAGAAATTTATCGAAGAGATTGAACTTTCAGAGACTAGCTCAACTACTGTATTAAGTAGTGGTAAGATTGCAAAATATGAAAAACCCTACAAAAATGCGCATGAACTACAAGTAAACAAGCAGATGAAAGTTTCAAAGGTTACTAAAATGCGAGATTTAGGTGAAATGAAGAATTGTAATAAAAATGAACCAAAAATAAATAGTCAATCGGAAGAAGCGTCCATTTGTAAAATTGACCCAGCATCTTCATTCCATTTTGATCCTCGTTTGAAAGTCATATCTAAATATAAGTGCAAAAGAATAAAAGATATGCCGAATCCGGAGAAAAAAAACAATAATTCGAAAATTGGCTTTCTTCAAGAAAGGGATGAATTCGAACGTAAGCACAAGGAACAATTAGAAAAAGAAAAACGCCGAGCAATTGAACGAGAGCAGCGTCATGAAGAGGAAAAATTAAGGGAAGAAAAGGAAAAGGAAGAAAGAGAAAAAAAACGTAAAGAGAAATTGGACAAGGAAAAAATGCGAATAGAAAAGGAAAAACAAGAAGAAAAAATCAAAAAATCAAATTGGGTCGTGCTACGTGAAAATGAGGCGAAGTTTGCTTCTGATAGAAGGAACGCATCGGACGATTTGTGTAGAATCAAGGAAGAAAGGGATTATAGTCACAAAAAAAAGATGGATTCAGTTAGTGAAGAAGACTTGATGGAAAATCTTTTTGGTGACGAAACAATAGATAAATCTTCGAAAGCAACAACTTATAAATCCATTAAATCAGCTGATGAGAAAGCAAGGTACTCGGTTTCTTCTGATGTTTGACGTTTTTTTTTTGCTGTTTTTATGTTTAATAATTACTGAGTTATTTTTTTGAAGAAAATGATGTTTCTGTTATATGGAATTTATATTATATAATGAGGTGCAATTGGTTTAAATAGTTTTAGAAAACGGCTGAAGATTTACTTTGTGCCGTTGTTTTGAAGTTTACAGGTAGATTCATAATTTTTTTTTTTAATTTATTGTTTTAATTGTTTTAATTTATTGTTTAATTTTTTAATTTATTGCAGAGCGAAATCATCGTTTCTCGCTGCCAAAGAATCTCGCATTTCTGATAATATAACCAAAGTTGAAGAATCTCTTGATAAAAATGTGAAATGTGAAGCAAAAAGTGTGAAAAAAGCTAAGATAGTAATTATTTTATTCTATAATTCGAGATTCTAAAAGACGGGGTTGCATGATCGGATTCAATTTTAATCAAAGCAAATATTTTATAAGGGCCAAATTTTATTTAATAATTCATAATAAAGAATAAAAATAATTCTTATTTTTTTTAGTATGGTTATTTCTGGTTAGGCTTTCTTTGCTGATTTATCAGACTAGATAGATTTTGCCAGAGGGGAGGGGGTCACTTGGCGATAGAAGTATAAGTGAGTCGCTTCAAGGTATAACTCAAGGTAAGTTATAACTACTTCCACTGGAAATAAAACATTAGCATCGGCGCTTCAAGGCGAGAGCAAGTGAGAGCAACCCATTGAGCAATTTTTTCCCATGATTCTAACTTAATTTATTAATTCATTTATTATTTATATATTGTAAATTCTCCAATCTTTAGTGCTTCCAGGCAGATAAGAAAAGTGATCAAGTGCTGGATGAGATTTTCAACACGTTTATTCGACCTCCACAACAAGATTTTGGTTGGTTTTTTTTGGTTCGTTTTTGATTTTGGTAGTTGTAGTTCAACTTACCGAATAATCCCTATTGCTATCACTCGCTCAGAAATCTTCTCAATAATTAATTATTACAAAATAGTTTAATTTAGAGATGAGCGTAAATTTTTAAATTCGTTAATCCAGTGTTAAACTTAAATCAAAATTAAATCTGAAGTATCTTTTTCCCTGCAAGATACTGCATGATCTGTTGCCTCTATCTATGGTAGCTGACCCTCTATATAGGCGTAAGAATAGTTTTTTCTTAAATCAGAAATATATAATAGGTTATCATATGGTGATCAATAGGTGGATTATAATTTTGCTTTTCAGTTTCTTGTGCTTAGATATTTATGAATATGAAAATATATGTTAACATTGTATGGTGCAATGATTCTGAAATTTGAAACAAAAAGTTGAAAAATCGATAGGAGATTTTTTTATTGGCTTGTGCTGGGTTCAAGCTTTAAGGGGCCTCATACTGCAGTTTTTTAAACTTTCGGGGAATTCCACTTTTATTTGGTAAAATTTTTCGTGTTTTAGTTTCGAAATCTCAATTTATTAATCTCAAAAAAAAAGTTGATTTTCGACATGATATATTGAAAATATTTATTTTGGTATGGCGGATTTGGGATTTACTTTATCATTTTTCGTTCTCGCTTGATGCATTTTGATTGTTCTGTTAAAGTGCACGTTTTTAATTTTCGTTTTAATTTAATTTAATAAAATAATTTTTGATTAAACTATCTTCATATATTTTCAATTTTCAGTTAAATTCAAATATTTTGCGGAAGTTAATTTAACATTGAATTCAACGTTGAAAATTTTGAATTCAACATTGAAAAAATCAGTTTTTCTGCGTTCCTGAGTACTTTGATTACCATCTATTATTCTTTGATTTTTTTTAAATCAATTTCATTTTTAGGGTTCAAAGATTCATATAAGAAGGACCAAGCAAAAGATTCTCAAAGGGATGAGGTTATGAAAGAATCGTTTTTTAAAGATTCAGTGCAGCCAGCGACATCGACCGAAAGAAGTGCAAGTAAAATGGTGGTCACTTCGGGAATTAACAAGGGTCGTGAAAATTTGTTGGTTGGCGGGGGACATTCAGCTCGCGGTGATTGGAGTTATTTTATCATCATCTAATTGTGTATTATTAAATTATCACTCATCAAATGAAATTTGAAATTTTTGTTTGGTGTGTATAATTGCTTTGAATATAATTTTATAATTTATTTTCATTTTTAGTTGGAATGGTTTTGGAAAAAGCAATGAGGATGAGGCTCAGAGCGCTATTAGATGTTCGATTCGATGCTAGGCAGTTATCTCAGGTGTCTTTATCTCACAGTATACTGAGGTTTTACATATTTAAAGAGTAGTCGATTTTCCATTTGTTGCTTTTGGTTTATAATCTGTTAATCTGAAATAAATTATTATAGCCTTCGCATTCCTTACCGTCAAGCTTATATGCTGTAAAAGGTGCTTCAAATAATTTTTTAAAAGCTGCACTTGATCAAATACCTAATATCAACAGTGCATCTCCTGTAGTCAATAAGGTTAAAATCTCTGTTGAATTTGCTTTTTATTATGGAAAAAATTAAAAAATTGAATAACGCGAATGGTTTATCGGTAAAGATTATGAATTATAGCCCAAAATTTTTTTTAATGAAATGAGTTGATTTTATGGCTTTATGTGAATCATTTAGGATACTTCTTCATCAAAAAATATATTATGTTTGCCGTTACCGAAATCCATTGGTTTTACTACTATGCCATGCTCTTCTTCGGAACAATTACAGCTCGCGAAACCTTTTTCAATTCCAAAAGTGACCTGTTCTAATGTACAAGTTTCTGAGTCTTCCGGAAGCACTTTCACTAACATAGCTCAGATCGATTCACCTTGTGCAGCATATGTCGCAATACCTTATTCAGCTTCATTTTCGGATTATTCAGCATCTACAGATACTGCTTATTCTCCAGTTCCTGCAAAAAGAACAAAATTGAATACACAAGTTATCGATAAAGTTTTAAATAACTTGCACGATTTTGCAGGGCCCAAATAAGAGATTTCCTCGTTTTGCTTATTTTTTTGCTAATTAACTACAAAAATATATAGTACAGTTAAAATAGTATAATTGTGAACCTTTGTTTTTCGCATTACGACTGAAATCAGTCTTTTCTTATGTCACTTGAGAGAATCTCTGTATTTTTACCATTTTTTCGTTTTTATTCATTTTCATTTCAATACCATTTTTTCTTGTAATATATTTATATTCTTGTTTCCATTTTGGACCTGAAATTTTTTTTTTTTCAGATTTTCCTTAGTTTTACTTCGTTTAGACATAAATTATCAGCTATCTTATTTATTCTAAAGGTTTGTAAATGTTCAAGATGGTTGCAGGACAATATTTGCTTTCAGTGATAGCTCATCAGCTGACTAATCCAAATATAAATATCGACCGTTATCACTAAGATCACGAATGCTCATATAATGAAAAAGATATGACAATTGCTATTTCTATTACATTATATAATGATTCGCAAAAGGTTATGTTATTATAATCGTTTCGAAAAATTTGAAAATGAAATTTAATTAAATTTAACATTTGTATAATAAGCGGATATAAGCGAATAACGGATAATAAGGTGGCGTAAAACGCGTGACATTTTATCGCATGCAATGTTATTAGCTTATATATATATATATATATATATAAATAGATTGTCTAAATGTTTTTTTTTTACTTATTTAACTTTTGTCAGTTGTATATATTTTGGTTATTTTTAGTGAAATCCATTTTCCGAATTCTATGTCATTTTTTGATGTTGATGTGTTTTTTATATATTCTTTTGCTCAGCCAGATTCAAAGGAATAAAGATGCATTTGCATCGAAGTAATAACTCATTTTCGTTTTCTTAGGATGTTTGGTAGTATGGAAATTCTAAGGAAGAACTTAGTCATCATAGTATATTGCATTAAGTCTTTCTTTTTTTTTTAAAGTGGGTGGCGAAAATTATTCATTTTTTTGTGATTACTTCATTTTTGGGTAATTGTAATATTTATCAGCAGTAAATTTATTTGTTTTTCGCGTTTTGTTCTTTTGGATTCATAAATATTGAGAAAATTTACATAATATACTAAATATTGTTGGTAATATTAAACTCTGAGTGGTGTTTGGCACTTGCTTGTACTTTTGTTTAAGCGAGATTCTGATATCTTCTCCTCTTAAGCAGTAAAATAAGTGGCTGCAATTCGCTACCAGACAACACAATTAAAAATTTTTGCCGGGGAATCGTTTGGCGACAGAAATAGTGGTTGGTTGTCAAAGTTATTCAGATTTTTCAACAATGGGTTGCTGACGCTAAATTCAGGATCCTTTCCTTTCAATGTGGCAGCCTCAGTTTATCATCTACTCGGCCCCTTTCCTTTATTATAAAAAGAAGAGAACCTTGATCTAATTAGATATGCCTACTTTTCTGAAATTTTAAAATTGTTTTTATAGAGTTCGATAAAAAAAATTTAAGAGGGGATCCTAGTTTTTGAAGAAATAACTAAATTGTAAAATTATTCATATTAACCAAATTTCAACAACTAAGAATATCGGCTTTAAGTGAAAAAAATTGGACGGAAGCTGATTATTGAAATATGATTATTTGGTTTTTTCAGGCAAAAAATTTATGGCCAGAATAGTTTTTCGGCGTTTTTGTACGTTAAAAGTAGATAAGATATGTTTACAACAGGAATTTAATATTGTTAAACAATGTTTCGGTGCGCAAGGTTTCTTTGGTGCAACACATCGAGTAATGGTTGTTCATCCAAAGGTTCGGTGGGGCAAGCACTCTACGTCACTTCTTACAAGTCCTGAACTTCAGTTAAATGAAGCCATTTCACTTGTGAATACTTTACCTTATTTAAGAGTAACGAGGTAAGAATTGATATATGATTTTTTTCTCACTTTATTTTCATAAAGTTTAATCCAACTTATATTTAAAATTAACATTCAAATTAATTAATACTTAATTGAGATTAGCTGAATTGTTCGAGAAAGTTCTTAGGAAAATTTCGTTGTGAAATGAGAAGCGATAAGAGAGTCTGCATTTTCCTAATTGCTTGTCAGTAGTTTTATAGATTAACCACAAGATGTCGTATCAGCATTACTTTCGTTTTCGTAAGCGTGAATAGAATCAATAGTTATAATGTTTGTTAGATTTTCGAAAGAAGTTAATAGTTTTTCATGATTCTTTCTCGTAATTCTTTTGTTTAGTTGGTTGGTTATTTTTAGCTCTTCAATCGTTGGTGCTGATTATAGTACAAAAAAAAAGAATATGTGGGCTAAAGGAAGAATAGAAAAATTGAAGGAACAATTACGAAATGATCGTGTCACAGCTATAATGATTAATGTTGACGTCCTATCACCTGAACAGCAGGTTCTTTTTTTCAGTCATTATCTTTTCCATTATATTTCACAAAGTTTTTTTTCTAATATTTCCAAAATTTCATCTTATTGTCTAAATCAGACTATTATTTTTTGATATTAGAAAGAAGAAGTGGCTCTGATTTTGAAACCAAAAGCATTACATGAAAGGTCTGAAGGATTTGAATATTTCCGTGAAATAGATTTGCTGGATTGAAATTTATTTTGATTATAACTTGATTTGATTTTTTCCGACTTCTGGTTAGCACCTAATAACTTTAAAATGTTTCAAATTTACATCGCCATCGTAATTTTTATTGTGAATCTCAAGTTATAATTTTCTGTTTATAACTGGTCTTATGTCTTTTAATTTTATGAATAAATTAGATGCTTTTTGTATCTTTTCATTATTGTTTCACTTTTTTGTGACACTTTGTTATATTTCAGCGACACTTCTACTCCGTTTTTGGAATTCCAATTTTCGATAGGTTTAATGTCGTTTTGAATATTTTTAAACATTATGCGAAGACGAAGGAGGCTATTCTGCAAATTAAACTCGCGGAGATTCCATATATTCGGTATTTTATTTTTCACCAGTTTCACCAGACTGACAATTTCTACCCGTTTTAACAATTCATGCAGCTAGTATACTATCGCGTATTTCAGACAAAGAATAAATTCACAGATTAAGAGTGAAACGGATGTTTTTCATGCTGCTTATTCAATAGCATTAAGGTTAAAATCTGATTTATCTTAAATGAATAGAAAATATGGAAATTTTTCTTTATCTTCTTTAACTGATTCTCAGGATTTCCTTTTGGTCATGAAGAAAACTGAAATTTAATTTATTTTTATTCTATTATCAGGTCAGATCATTGTGAAATGCTTCGATTGCGCGAACATTCACTTAGAAAAAAGTTAAAGGCAATAATGGAGAAGAACAACAATTTAACAAAAGGGCAAGAAAATAAGAAGGTTGCTACTATTGCGGTTGTTGGCTATACAAACGTTGGTAAAAGCTCTTTTATCAAACTGTAAGTTTTTAAAAATATTAATCATAATCCTTAATTGCGAAAAAGAATTATTATATTCCAAGATTTTCTTCTTTTTACTTTTTAACTGTTAGTTTTTCACTGTTAATAAATTTTGATATGCCGAAAGGTTGTCTTATTCAATGAATGTACAAAAAAATTTTATGCACTAGACTCACTGGTAAAGCATTATTTGTGGAGGATAGGCTATTTGCTACGCTCGATTCTTCTACACATTTTTGTCGTCTCCCGTCTGGTACTCCAATTTATTTGACCGATACTATTGGTTTCATCTCGAATTTGCCGATCAATTTATTCGCATCCTTCCAAGCTACTCTCAGTCACGTGATTAACGCAGTTAATCATTAAATAAATTTTTTGTTGTCATTATCGCAACGAGCAAAGTTTCGGTTTATTAAAAGTGCTTTCAAATTTTTCTCACTAATAACATTTTATTCACTTAATAATAAAAAAATAGAAAAATTAATCGAAAAATTTTAAAAAGCACCGCGAATTTTTCTTCAGGATCTCCTTATTCATATCGAAGATGTTTCGCATCCGGGTCGCTTCGCTCAGCGAGAAAGTGTTCTTAAAACGCTTTCTAATCTAAAAATACGGCAATCTCTACTCGATTCGATGATTATAGTTGGCAATAAAGTAGATAAAGTTTCTTCAATAATCGATAAAGAGTCGAACATGCATTATATTTCGTGTTTGACTGGCGCAGGCATACCCGAGCTTATATCAACAATCGATCAGGTAATATTTTAATATTCTTTGCTTTTTTCGTTTTTTGCAGGAAATGCCACAACGAGCCCGTAATTTTATCAAAAATTTTTTTATTCCGTTACATATAATCCCAATTCTTAGCTCTAAATTTCAATATTGTAAGTTGAATATAGGAAAAATGAGAAGTGTGGCTGCTATTTGATAACTGTTAAAGATGATTTATTTTTGATTTCATTTAAAATTTTTATAATATTTTGGGAGCGGACTAGTCTACTGGTATGTTTCTTTGTTCAAGTGTCATGGGTTGTATTCTTAGAAAACCTAAAAGTGGAATCAGACAATGCTGTAGAGCATCTATACTTTTGCAGAACAATTATTATCCTGATAGTTAATGGAGCTTTTGTTGACCAGAAATGAAGGTAGCTGAAAGAGTTTTAGAGTTATTTTGAAGCTATGGTCTATATTTGAATTTGGAAAATATTGATTCTTTGCATTTTTTTCAGAATATAATATCAATAAAAAGAAAAGTGCTTCGTCATTTAAAACTGCGCCCTGGCTCAAACGCTTGGTATTATTTATATAAAAATTCCTTTTTATTCGGTAAATCTGTGCCGAGTAACGACAATAATTTTTTGCATTGTAAAACTTTCATGGACGATGAAGAATTTCGCTTATTCGAAATAAAGTTCTCACTATCAAAACATACGAAAAATGATAGTAAATCTCCACTTTCTTCTTTTGGAATTTCGAATTTCGTGTAAATACGTATAGTAGATTTTTTTTAGAGCGATTTCTTTGTTTGTTATCACCGTATAAGTATTTTTCGATTACTTATGGTTCATTATTTGTTCTTAAAGTTGTTTTTCATTTGCTGATCTTTTTTAATAGAAATAATTTTTTTTCAGTGTATTCTCGCTTCGCTTGATAATGGTTTATTGATTAGGTGGAGAGGCAGTTTTCTGCTTTATTTTAGCCATCTCCTATGGTTTATTTCATGTAATTTTAATTTTTCCTTATATTTATTGTACATACCATCATCTGTGATATGCATTGTTCAATTAAAGTTTTCATTCGTAGATCTGAAGAAAGAAAAATACTTGGTCATTTTTGGCTTGCGGCCAGATCGACCTCTCTTTTATACTCGAATATTTTATACTCGAAACGAGCAAATATTAGATAACACGGTTAATGTTCCATAGAATTATGTTTTATATTTTTTTATAGTTTTTTTTATTTGATGTAAATAATGATAGAATTATTCCTATAAGGTGATTGCATCTACTTGACAGTTGTTCGGTTTTCTGATAATTTTTTTTCATAAACCTTACTTTACTTTAAATTATTTTTTCAGGCTTCGCTTTTATTATAATGGTACGTTTTTTGCATTATTTTCGCGGCAAAGTTGAATTTTATTTCGTTAAAATAGTTACCATTCAGATCTGATTACAATAAACATTATTACGTGAGATTATATGAATTACACGACACAGCTTGTTTCGATTTTCTGCATTAGATTAGTTTTTTTATCTTTCTTATCGCTTATATTTTTAGCCGGTAATTGCACTCGAAATGAAGGCCTCTCTTGTCAATATCACCGAACTGCAGCCAGCCGATGTTGAAAATTTTCGATGGCATTTCCAGGTAAGTTTTTTTATAATTTATTGTAATATATAATAAATTATAAAAAAAAAAATTTATTAATAATTTATAATTTCATAATTTTTATAATGTGATCGTGGTTTTTTATAATTTATTTTTTATTGTTTTCTTCGGCCTATAATCATTTATTGCAAATTATTTTATCGAAGAATCTTGGAATTTAGATGTTAATTAATTATGAGAAATTAATTATGAGAATTTATATTTAATCCTACTTTGGTAAAATATTTTAGCTTATTAAAATTATTCTAGGCTCTGCATTTATTCAGCAACTTTTTCGTTTTTTGTCCTGAATGTAAAATTAAAGCTCGGTTAAATTCTAGCGATTTTCCAGTCCTTTATGAACTTTTTATTAATTTTTTGCAGCTGAAATGTACAAATTGTGGTGAAAAGCCAGACCATTGGCAGTATGCAATAATTTCGGTGTATTTATTTTTTCTTCATTTGCATCATTTAAATATTATGTGTAAATTAACTAATAGTGATTTGAGGAACTTTATAATAGCTTAAGGGATTAACGAACAGTTTCAGTTCATTATAATTTTTATTATTACTGTTGAAGGAAACGATGGAAGTTCCTGGAGGTCGCGGATTAGCGAATATAGTAATTAAATGCAAACTATGTGAAAGAGTCAATACATTACGTGAGTTATTAGAGTGTATATTCACCACTGTAATCGTTCAACGAATTATTTGCCGATCATTTTCGTGTATTGCTTTTTTTTTCGATATTAATAGATTTGAACTCTGGTTGGAAAAATCTGTTTATTCGTATAAATAATTTTTTTCTAGAAATTCTGCACCACTCTCTCACACCATATTCAATCGAGAACAATTTGCAGTTTCAGCCGGTATTGAAGATGGATTGTCGTGGTCTTGAGCCAGTTGATTTTGATCCTAGAGTTAGTGATTCTTCCGAATTAGTAATATGACCTATTTACTTTTGTATTTTATCGTTATTGAATATCTTCAACAACCACTCCTTTGTTTAAAAAAATTCATCCTTTCTTTTTTGTTCAGTGATTTTAAGGTTTTATATATTTTTGCCCATTTTCAATTTGAATTCAAAATCTGGCATTATTTTAGATTATTTATTTGATTATTTATTTGTCTTTAGTGTTCATGGTTTTTATAATAAATATTTTCCTTTCAGTTCTTTCTTCAATTTATTATTGCGTTATTTTTTTGCTTAGCGGGTAATTATGCTGCACTAATGATGACCTTTATGTTGCGGTATTTATTGGGTTTAATTGGATAAAGGTCTAAATCGCCTTCGTTTTGCAGAGAACGTGGCTTGCAAAGAGTACTCAATCAAATACAGTCTTTGATGACATCGATCTCACCGAAAAGGTTTATTTTACTGAAATTTCCTATTGTTTCATATTATTATTCTCTTTTTTTATTTCTTTTGATCTTATCGTTTTCGCTTACCGATTATTTTAATGCTTTGAAATAACAACAAAAACAATAATAATTTTCTTATTTCTTCATTTCTTATTCAAGACTTTGAATTAAATTTAATTTTTTGAACTAAATTTTTCTCATTGCATCGCAGTTAACTAGAATGACATATTATTGGATGAAATGGACTACTTTCTTGTTCCTTTAGCCTCATTCGCGAATTTTTTATTCATTGCTTTATTTTATTAATCTATATTAAAGTAATTTAAAAAAGTTTGTTGGTTATTGATTTTAAGATTTTAAAAAAATGGCTTCGAATTCACTTTGTATTATAATTTAATTTACTAAAGATTATAATTTTATAATTTTATCTTTAGTAAATCTTCTTTTGTTGATTCTTTTCATTTGAAATTTCAGGAATGGGTTGACTATGATGAGCCAGGTGGTGCAGAAACAGAGATTACTGAATTCGAGGTTCGCTTTACGTTGTCGAAGAAATAAATATTATCCTGGATGTAAATAATTCAACTAATCTTTAAATTTAGTCTTTTGTGTTGTTTTTTCTATCTTTCTATCAATTACTGCCGCATATAATTTTATGTTTCATTAAATTTTGGTAATATTTATTACTAATAGCTACGACTGTCAGAATCAGTCATCATTCTCTTTTATATTCTAAGGAAGACTTTCTTCGAAGAAATTTCTTTTTTAATAAGTAAATTTATTTGTGGAAATTTTATGTTATGGATTCGAAGAAAAAATAAACGTTTTTAAGTATTTGAAAATACGATTAGATGACAGTGAATATGAAATGTATATATTAAACTCTAACATTTATCTTTATGCTGATGACTGTAAAATTTATTATTCTAATGGTAAGTTGGATAACCTGTCTCCACTGCAGGATGAAATAGAATTGCCAACTGGCTATATGGCAGGCAAATTACCTTTTCAAAAGTATAGCGCTTGTACAAATTTGAAAGGATTCGATCTTCCTAATTTTTTATTAATGGTAACATAATCAGGCGGGTCTTACATATTTCCAATCTTGGCATAATCATGGATGAAAATCTTAATTTCGATCTTTACTGCAGAACTGTAGTAAAGCAATCCTCAAAAATACTAAATTTTATTTTTCGTTCGTTTACGAACGGAACTGAAGGTTTTCTTATCAAAGTGTACGAATTGTTTGTACCTACCTGTTACTAGCCGAGATACCGGAAATCAAGATAATAACTGAAGAATATTTTATGCTTTGCCTCCCTTCTAATAGTAATTTTAATTATGAAATAATTTGAATAATACAAATTCTCTCAGTTCGTTGAATTAAACAAGATTTAATTTATGCTTGTGAAATCTAAATGGTTGCGCTAAATTTATTATTCGAAATATCACTATTTTGGATCAAATTTGAATCCAACAAGATCTAATGGGCTAAAATTACTAAAACCTATAAAACTAAACTAAGGACTCATGATTACTTTATTCACACTATTATTTACTGGAATAAACTACCGAATGATGCAGTTTGTGCGTCTTCTTTATTTATTTTTAAAAAATGTTTAAATAATATCATTTATTATATTATTTAATAAGTTCACATTATTTTTTCATTTTTCATTTAATTGACGAATTTTTTAATTCTCGGATTATGCAGGAAATTTAAAATTTTGTTTCTTGCTAATCGATTATACATAAGTAATACCATCACTTCAAACTATGCTATTTTGTAATTCCTCTTCATTTCCTCTTACTTTAGTTTTTGTCATATTTTCTTTTTTATCTCTAATTTTCATTATTTGTTATTTTAACTGTTGTTATTAATACGAGCACATGGCGCTTTCGGCCCTGCTTGGTTAGTATTCAATAAATATAAATGTATGCTTTTTGTATATTTTTTTTTAAAATCGCTCTCTTTTTTATTTAATTGATGGATTTTTTAATTTAATTTTAATTAAATTAGAACCTTACTGAATTGTTTAGGGCAAATATTGAATTCAGATTAATTAAACGAATCATTTCTATATTTTTCCTTATATTTGAAAATTATCGTCGCTTTTTAATTTTTTAATTTGGGCAATGTTCTGTTTCGAGGGTCAAACTTTCATATTCTCCGTAAGGAAAAATAAACATCAAATATAAAATAAATGATTAGCGCCTACCATTTGGTTAGGTTAACACCTCTGGCTTTTAGTTCGGTTAGAAATTTTTGCCATGGAATCACTTGGAGATAGAAGTGAGTCAGCGACAGGATTTTTTTAAGTGGCAAATTACTGTTGTAGGGAGGAGTCGAGCCATTGGTCTCAACATATGGTGATCTGAACCATTATATACTCAGCTACTGCTACTCCTCCTCTATTCAAATTCTCTGAACTAAGATGTAGACAAATTACAAAATTTGAAAGTTTTAATAGCAATGCTATGTTATGTTAAGTGAAGGTCGACACTGAGTACAATTTCTTTTTAATTTCTTTTTAATTTATTATTTACGGCTTAGAAAGCAAATGAGAGGATTAAATATGCTTTGATTGAAATAAATGGCGAACTTGATAAGTGGAAAATTAATTGGTGCTATAGACGCTTGCTTAATTGGGTCGGATAAGTTATATTGATAATTATGCAGGTATTATGTTTGGTTTATGGTCGATTATGACTGCTGCTCCGATTAGTTGGGCATGAATGGTGGCTGATGATCAATATTCAATGAGTGAATAAGAGATGCCATCCGGATTGGACGAAGGGCTTTATTAATTATTAATATTTTTAAATAAAAGAATCATCAATCATAACGAATTCAGTTTCGTTACCGATCATTTTTGCTTAATTGCATTCTATGAAATAAACAATAACAATAACAAACATCAAAAGCATCATCAGTTTCAGCCTACAGTGCATGTAATCTATCTATCTAAATTCCTAAATCTATAAATCTTCATTAAAATATAATAAATGAATTTTATTTATTGAAAATAGCCAGGAATGATTAGAATGGTGCAAATAAAGTCAAAGAATAATGAATAGAGTGGTTCTTTGCTGATTCGGTGACGGTGTTGCGATTTTTTAGAACAAATGTTGGATAATTTCGATGGTGAGGAGTTTTACGAGGGCTTTTGTGAAATTAAAGTTTAGCTGATTAAAAGATGCTGAGGAATATAGCGTGATTTAGAGAGGAAGTTCTTTACAGCGTGACATTCTTGAATTCAAAACTGCTTAAAAAAATTTCCTTGATGTCTTTAATGTATTCAGTTTTTACAAGCATTAATAATTTTAAATTTGTTGTGGTAAGAATCAAAAAACGTATAGTTCCTTCTTGTTTCCTTGTGTATCTTTAATGAATTTTCAAAAAATAAACATTAAGTAATTCTCGAAGCAATTCAATTCTTGAAGAACGCGTTTTGGTCTTCATTTAGGATAAGAATATAATTAACTGCTCGAATAAATAGTCTGCTTTTTCAAGCAGTGATTACTGTATCTGAATCAAATGGAAAAATGAGGATATCTTTATGGAAATATTTTGAATTGTTTCGAGAACAACAACAACTGTGGTAGCGGTTAGATTTCATGGAGACATTTTCCCGCAAATTTAGATTCTTATGTAAAGTCTTTATTGTCTCTTAAGTCGTTTAAATCTTTATAAAAAAATATATATTTGAAGAATTTTGTTTTCAACCATTCTATGAATTAATTGAGTTTAGTTGAGTTAGTTATGAATTTAAGTATAATATTAAATATAAAATTCTATCAGAACATATCTCAGTATCATGTATGATCGACAAAGCTTCATGAAATATGGATGGAATGCAGGTTTCGTTAAATTATTTTTGCATATCCATAAGCTGAGGTTTGCAAAAGCTGTCGACATATTTGAAACCTTTTATATACTCCATTAAAATTAAATGAGATATACACTACGATGAATGCAATTTTTGAACCTCAGAAATATTTATCACGTTCGACGATATAATTTATATCAAATCATGGAAATTTCGATTTTAAATCACTATAGGTAAAACCAAATTGAATAATTCAACATTTTACGAATTTATATATATATATATAAATTTATGTATAAATTACATGTAAATTTCAGGCAAGTGGCTGTTGTTTTTTCCATGATTTTATTATGACATTGCCTTGCTATTTCTATGTTTTTTCGGAACGCTCAATTATTATATGATTTTCAGATGAAATCCGAATTTTCGAATTCTCCGAAAATCGTATGAAACGTTTTTCTGAGAAAATGCTTGCTAGACAAGAGAGAAATGAGCACTTGATTACAGTAAGTCAAGGAACTTTCTTTTGGGCACAATTAACAACAAATTGTCTTGTTTACGACATGCAGTTGTATATTTGACTACAAGAATTATAGAGGTGGTTCAACAAATTGGATAAGAAGCAATTAATCTAAGTGATGAGAATGTAATGAATTGTCGCCGTTAAATCAGTAAAGAAGACATATTTCGATTTACAGAGAGAAGCAACCTTGACACTCCGCTCCATTAAAAAATTAGCCACAATTGCTATAAATACGACTCATAACAAAACATTCTGGAGATCTGTTTTTATTTCTGACATCTGATGCACTATCTGAAGCAAATTTTCCAATATATGAATATGAATATGAAAAACAAATCAAAGCAATTTGTAATTAATTCACTGTTTACTTAGAATCGCGCGATGGGTTGTTGCTCAGTTTGGAGTGCTGAAGTTCTACTCCATGCAGGAGAATACTTGTTCAAAAAACCGGGTAATGCTAGCTACTCATCTTTATTGCTATCCCCAAGGGATTTCTGGCATATTTGTCTCGTACGACAAACCAGCTGAGCGAGGCTAACCAGTAATGATGAGGAAAAAAAAATTCACTGATTAAAACTAAAGATGTACGCAATACTGACTACTATGTTAATCAAGGAAGTAAACTGTCAAACACTTAAGGTGATGAGTTTTTTTTCTGTCTTTTGCTCTAAAATATCTAAAATAATATAGTAGTCCATTGTGGAAAAAAAATCCATAAAATTTGTCTTCTTACTGTTAAGACTTCAGAACAAATTTACGATAAAAATTTTTGCAACCAGCATGCATAGCATAAGAAATTTTTTTTACGAATCGCCAAAAGAAGCAGCGAGTAAGCAAGTTGGTTATATGTTAGCGTTAACCATGCATTTGCAGACTGTTAGAAATATGGTTAGAAATTTTCGATAAGGAATCACCTGGTGATAGATAAAAGTACAAATGGATCGCTAATACCAACTTGGATTTCATTGTGATGAGAAATAATTATTGCGATAAATTGTTTTTTTATATTACATAAATTTTATTATAACAATCTCAAACATATAAAAGCATAATGAACTTCGATGCCTGTCGAAAAAAGAATATATCTAGTAATAAAACTTCACATATCTGAAATATTTGAAAAACAATCTCAATGATGAAAAATAATTCAAAATTGTTGATAAGAAAGAACTCGTAAAACGATGAAAATATTTATAATTTCAATTCACTGAAATTTTTTTAGAAATGAGTATTTTTTAAATGAAACAGATGGATTCCTACAGTTTTATGAACAAAAGGCGGAAATATTGCGGTAAATAATGGCTAACATTGTTATCGTCGGTCATATCAGGGTCAAGAAGGTTTTTCATTTTTCGGGGATGCCAGGTGTTCGAGCGGACTGAACGAGGTTCTCATATATTATCGATACAATAAGCGAGTAATTAAACATATATAGACTGCAATTAACGATTATGTACAGTAGACTAGAGATTTCGAGCAGATATAAAATTTTCAGCGAAAAAAAATCGAGCTTTTGTTGAAATTTTATAAAAAAAGAGAAACATTTCACTCCCATTTTATATTCTTATAACATATCGCAATATTTTACTGAAATTTTCCTGAAACGTCGCTTCCTACAATCCACTATCGATAGAGATGCGCACGACATACTGGGACATTTATATGAACAGGAAAGAGAAAATAACTCAACGAAAAATAATTACATCTTAAAAATTTAATGAAAGAAAAAAGAACATGAGATCTTAACAGTACATTTGGCCCGTTAATATTTTATGAAAAAAACATTAAGAATGAATGCAAATGTTGAAAACATGTTATAATAACATACGAATTTACCCACAAATTGCTTTTTAATACTGGAAAATTAGCAATTCAATGGAACAAATGTTGGCTATTTAAGAGATTACGATACTCCTCTTTTTCAAAAATTTGGCACTTGAAAATAACCATTCGCAGATTATTTCCAAAAATTAGACCTAAACAACAAGTAGGATTACAGAAATTTATAATTTTTAGTTAGACAAATCGATAATTTCTATGAAAAAATTGTCATGTCTCGAATAAAAAATAAGCTAGAAATCAATATATTAACAAAAATAATGCTAAAATGAGATTGGATACGGAGTTTTAAAAAAAAATCGACCATAAAAAATTTAGCCTGACTTGGTTGTGGGAAAAAAAGATGAGTATTATTGACGAATAGATGAAATCAAGGTTAAGGTAAAATAAGGTCGATTGCTCCTGAAATTATCTAGGGACGTCTGATTTCTCGTCTTTAGGTACATGAAATGAATGAATCCTCCTTACAGTGGATGATGCTTCCGAGCAACAATTTGCGGAATGCGCCTTTAGAGATTTTTTGGATTCAAATGAAGTGGAACAAGTTGAGCATTCAAGCGTATCTGATGCTGATGATGATTCCTTTGGTTTATGCCATCGCCTGTGTGAGGCTAAATTCGCTGGACAACTGAATACCTATAAAAAAAAGATTTCAGTTGCCTAAAAAAATATGTTATGTTTGTCAAAAACCTGAAACTTATTTGAAACTTTCTTTTAAATATGAGGTTGTAATTGAGACAAACACTTCAACATGATGCTTCGCTGTTCTATTTATATTACTATATTATGTACTGTGCTATTTTTCTACATTATCGTAAACAACCAAAATGATAATGCTAACAATATAAAATCAGAAGAAATGAGTGACGGCGATGGTTTATATTGATGTAAAAGGATCATAGTATTTGTGCAATCCAGTCAGACTGATCAAAAACTTGTCCAAATTGGTTAATTGCTTTAATAACGATTTTCTCGTAATTGAACCAATTTAGCGACGAAGAAATATGAAAGGAAGTTGCACATTGCACTTTTCATTGATTCGGAATGTTCAAAGATTCAGTAATATAGTCTGATCTTAAACAGCTGGGCTTCCGGTGACCATGGGAGGTAGGGTCAAGCATTTACGTTTGTCTAGCGCTTGTTTTTCATGCCTTTATCAACCATTTAAAGCTTTTGTCTTAGTGTTTACCTCATAAGACTGACAATACCTTATGATCGATAGCCTAATCCTTTCTAAATAAATATATATTGAAAATTGTCCACTGATTTTGAAAAGAAATTTGCCGCTGATGATCCATCTTTATAATCTATTTCGATTATTTTTCAAGAGGTTTAAGTTATTTTAACTATTAGCCAAATTTTCGTACAATCATTACTAGTTGATTGATCGGCACTAAAAATATTTAGCAAAATATCGAATATATGTCAGATTTAAAAGCTTTAAACAAGTTATAACATTAGGATGAATTAAAGTAAAGAGTTGAGGAAGAAAAACTTAGGTGAATTGTGAATAAAGTAAGTTTTGCTTATTTTGCATAAGACTGGGTGCCAAGAACATCAAGAATCGGACATGCGTGTGGGTAAAATTAGCTGTAAAAATATAATTAATTCCATTTCATACAACTTTATTGATGTTTCAGTTCATTTATATATAAAACTCTTCAACAAACCTTATCGCATTCTGGACAACGATATTCTTCGTGGATGATTCGTGGACAACGGTGCTGAGCAAGACGAAATACGTCTTCGTATTTCACCTATAATCATGAATGAATGAATTATTTTAATGAATTATTCAAAATTTTGTAAATTTCCTTCATATCAATTCAAGAAAGATTTTTTATTCCCGGTAGCTTCTCTGTATTAGCCAATATCATCTTATTAGACTATTTAATATCCCCTCAATCGTTTTTTATCGGTTCTTGAAAAAATTTTACATCCTGCATTGAAGTATCTTTCATGATATCAAAATAACGATACAGTAGTTTAGAACGAAGTACTTGAAATTTCTGAAAAAGGCCAATTTTATGGCACTATTTTTTCATTCTTTTGCAATATAAATATAAATATAAATTAAGGCAAAATTTAAATTTTAATATTCATAATTTTATTGAAATTTTATTTTTCGAAATTTTATTGGTCTTTAAAATTGTGGAATACGCTTTAAATTATTTAACGATAACAATTATTTTCTCAAGTTCAATCGACCTATATGTACAAATTTTGCAGAAATAACACTTAGTTAAGGAATGAAGTATTAATTATGCCATTTCAATAAATCGAGAAGATCAAGAAAAAAAATTAATGTCTTTTACTGAGACCTTGCATAGAGCACAAATACAATCGCCAATGATGTTTGATATTCGGGCGATATTGCGGCGACTTTCATCAGAAATATTAACGAAAGCTGCTGTATCGTCGAGGTCAGCTGCAGCTTGAAGCTGTTCTGGTGGTGGCAACAGTGACGCTTCCTGAAACATCCGTTCATTCAATGGTAGCTATATTCTGGACTGAAAACATAAGGAAATCGTCGTTAATTTGCTTCTAAAATAATCTTATTACATATTTTTTTAAAAAATTTAACTGGCAGAAATGCTGAAATACAATATTTTTTCGAAATGGATTCACGATAGCTAAGTTGGAAGAAATTAAGTAAATTTTAACACTTTCTTCAGATTTATTTTTTCAGACCTTTATGAACATTCCAGAAACAGGTGAATTGGTCTCGTTATCATCGATGATGCGCTTCACATATTTACTGCGTTTTACTGGAACCTCATCGACATTACGTGAATGCACACGCTTCGTTTCACGACATGCATCTATATGTTTATCACGCGTCGTTTCTTGTATTTGCTTAACAGTTATTGTTGTTGAGTTTACATAGACAGGTTAGAAAAAAGAAAAATGTTATTCAAAAAACAGTGGTTAAGAAAAACAGAAGAACAAATAGGGATTCCACTTGACAAATGTTTGTTGGTAAAATTTTAACCTTATAGGCATTTTTTAACGCCTCCATACGGGTAAGTTGATTGAAAAACGTGTTAAAAAGATTTGGCTGATAAAGCATTTGCAATTGCATTAATTGAAAAGCAGCTGCATAATCAAATGTCGAACAGAAGTTTCTGAACATCATTGATTGAAGAGGTATAACTTGATGATGATCATCGGATGAAGCTGATGACGATCGACTTGGAACTGGTGACGAAAGTTGAGAATCGACATTTGAATGACTGATAGACGTTGATGGTGTTGAAAAACCAAGTAACTGCTGGGCGATAAAGTCACCCATTGACATGACTATGATCCTAGTCGTCACCCAGCAATCGAATAGAACGACACGGTTCGAGAATGTTGAAATCGGGAAACGACGACATCTGTCCCATTCATCCCTCCTTTTTCTCTATGCGCTCTCGATTTACGTATCTATTCGATTAACTGTATTGTTATGTTCCGCCCAATGCAGCAATTATCCAATCAACGAATTATTTAGTGGTGGCTAAAAAATTAGAAGGCACTTGATTACCATTAAACGAGGATCTCTCATAATTTAACACCTATCTTCTAGGATAGAAAACTGCTGAAATCATATAAATAAGATTTAAAAATGAGATAAATCGATGAAAGAAACAAATTGAGATGGTGATTTAAACCGCATTCATATATGGTGTTTCTGTCTGGATTCATTTATTGGCCGAAGCCGTACCTGTCATAGAGAAATTAAAGGAACGCTACTTTCTAACATGATTCCATGATAAATTTCATCAATTCGCACAGTAGCAAATGTAATATTTAATCCTTCAATGATACTTAGTTCTATCTCTTTCATATCAAAATTTAGTCATTTAAATGGAAACAAAGAAGATGAAAAAAATGAAATCTGAGAATAATCCATAAATTCAAAGGTTCTTAAGGATATTCAAAGCCAAAAAATGTAGTCAAATGCGTGGCATTAAAATCATTTCAAATCTGTTTCCGTCAATCATGCACAAAAAAAAGAAAAAAAGTGGGAAAAATTTCTACGGGCTACCGTCCACCGTCTTTTTTGTTTAAAACTTATGTTTTCATAAATTTAAGCAACCCTCACTCAGTTCGCATCATTTGATATATCGGTTAGAACATAAGTAGTTGACTTAATTGCTGTGACCATTTATATATTAAATATTAAATAATGAAGGATATCCTAGTGGGTTTTCCAAATCAAAAGATTTGGCGGATTTTAGCTGAAACTGTGACATTTTAATTTATTTTTAATTTTTACTTTAAAATAGGTTTTTTTGTTATTTTTTAAATTGCGGTTGTTGATTGCTGCAAGTAAATCTGATTAAGATATATAAATCGCAATATTAGTTGTATCCTTGATTAGATGTTATCCATATGACGCCAAATAAAAAAGCACTGAGGCGAAACCAATGATCACTCATATATGTGTGGTGTATTAATTAATCATCAATTGCTAATCCTTTTAAGAGACCCCGAAAGGTCGTTCTTAGAAACATATTTTACCATAACCCATCGAGGAAATGGCAATCTCGATGACCTTTTAAACTCTTCCATTACGTAATCATTTGATAGTATCTCATTCTAACAAAGCTTGCAGATGTTTGTATCCATAAATTAAATATCTGATGTAACGGCCACAGTAATCAAATCAATTTAGAATATCGGATGAAATTCTTAAAAAAAGAACTGATTTGAATCATATAGTCATGCAATTTCAGTTACTATCATTTCATTTGAAAGTATTAAGGCCAAAAAGGCTAAAGCCAAGGATAATTCATTTGTAGCAATACCATAGTGATTGAATCTTTAAATTTTCGAAAGAATCAAAAGATGTGAAAGATTTATTAGAGTTGTGAAAGCATTGAATCTATTCAGATGTGAGTGTTTTCGCTGAAATATCATTCGAAATGATGAAATGTCTCCGCGTTAGCAAATAATTTTCAATATATTTCGATGCGAATCTAGCGATAATTCATCTGATGAAATTGAAAGCCTAAAAGCATTACTGTGCATTTACCTTTTAGTGAGTTAAAAAATTTGACAACCAATATCGTCCATAACAGCGTAGCAACAAACACATTTTTAAACAATTTATTCATCTTTTTTTTTCATTTCTATCACTGATCGAATGCTAACAAACCGAGAAATAGGATAAATAAAAGATAAAAATATAAATTTGCCCTTCATTGAAATTCATTTAAATTCCAATTGTCCGAAATAGCTTTAAACAGTTAAAATATTCCCAAGGAACAGGAAATGGTGAACTGGTGTAATGGTTTCAAAATTTTGTTGTTCGTAATAGTTTCAAAATTTGTGAGTATTTCATCAAACTATGAAATTTCTTAAAGTGATTTTTTTCGGGTATTTTACAACAGAATTTATATCGGCAAACGACAGTTGAACGACATGTGATGAACATAGCCAGTTTTTTCATCACATCATGCGTTATAGGAGGTGCCAGTTTAGTAACATTTATGAAGCCAATTTGCCAAACAATATTCATAACCAGTAAAGCAATTTGTTTCACCATTTGTTGTGGAAATTCTAGGGCCAAGCAGACCAAAAATCTCATCTAAAGACAAAAACCTTTTCAGCCATAGATTAAGATATTAAGGACACCTTTTCTCATGAAAACGGCCATCTAAACTGAAATTACATTTGCTTTTTATCCATGATTTTACCCATAATTATTTTTCATCCAGAGAACTTGTAAAATGGTTTAAAAATTTTGAGAATAATAATGGAAAATGTGCAAATAAATGAATAACAATTGATTAGTATTGAGCTTTTCGTGGTGGAACGGTGATGAGGATGAAGAGCATGATGGCAGATGGTCGATCGGCTGATTCGAAGCAGGTGATGAACGAAAGGTCAAATGAGGTCGTCCCCATCGATTTCAATCGTTCAATTACACGAATACATTACATGCTTCTCTGTTTTATATCCAGCTGCACGTCTTTTTCTCTAAGTAATTGGTATTCGTCATGCTTACTAGAAAAACCATTATAATGGTCATCTGTTCAAGCGTGACTTCCCTCATAGTTTTATTTAGTTACATACAATAAGGGCAAATATTATTTTCTTACTCTATTCTATTTTAATGTTGCATTCAGATCTCGAAATTTAGAGACATTTTTCTTCCAGCGATTTATTTCCCTATTTTTAAAATTAATTATCTAGTCTTTTTAGCCGTTTAACCGTTTAAATGATTGTGGTCACTTACCAAATCTAAATACTCGAATAAATGTCCGCTTTTATTTTATTACTGTTGGCTTACCCATTATGAAGAGATCTTTTCGATAACATATATTATATTATATTATATTATATTATTATATTACTATTAACATGTTAAATTTCTTGATGAAGGATGTTAGGCTAAAAAAATACGTGAAGCTGGTTAAAATTTTATTTACATTTTTGTAGCAAAACAGCATCTGATTTTTATAATTTATTACGAAATAAAATTAAATAAAGAATATGAAACTTGCATCAACTTTTTTGGATCATTCCAAAGTAGACCTTGCAAACATTCCCACTTTTACTCTTTTCGAGGATTCGTTGACGTTAACACAGACGAGAAGAAGATTTTTAAATTTAAGCGATACCAACTGCTGAAAAAATTCCTGAAAAAATGATCAATTCTCTTATCTTCCTAATTAGTACTGTTTACTTCCATTTCTAATTTCTCTGGCTACTTTAGCTCTTGACAAATTAATTCAACCAAACCAGAAATGACGATGAGTGTGAGAAGAAAAGATTGAGGCCATATCTCATCTGAGACCAATGTTAATATTGAGCTTTTTGAGTAGCTCATGTTAATTTTTGGATATTTTTCATTCAATTTTTTTGAACAGACAATTTTCAAGGCTTTTGATGAAGTTTCAAGGCATTAAATATCATTTAATGCATGAGATTTCTTGAATTATGCAATGCAAAAATGGAACATTACATGTTTATTATCTGATATAATAGCAGTCAGAATTATCTGTTTCAAACTATCGGCTACAAAATAAAAGGAATGAACCATACTAAAAAGGAATCGATAAATAAATTATGCAAATCTGGAAATTATAATAATTAAACAATAAAATTTTGGGCGAATCACTGCGAGATAAACAGCGAATTCAAAAAAAAAAAAAATTGAATATTTGACTCAGATTAATTCCAATTGATTTGAGACAAATTTTTTTGGCAATGACAAAGAGCTAAAAGGCGACAAAATGGCATGGAACAGATGTTCGTCGTTGCCAAATCCCAGTGAGATTAATTTTTGAAACTGTATATGCAAATCAAGCAAAATGTCAAATGGTCTCATCGACTTCTTTATATTTTGAATAATTTAAGTAATAGTTATATGCTAATAGAATTCTTAAATCAACATTAGTGCCAATGGTTTTGATAAATATGCATAAAATCTCAAACTCTCACCCGATATACAAGTTATTTAATCAGAGAATGACAGCCATGAAATAATTTTAGCAAATTTTCATTCCAAAATCTAACGATATTCAATTTTGGCATTTGGTATTTTCGTTTTCTTTTCAGTTCTTGCAAAAAAAAGTGAAAAAATGTGAGGCTTTTCTTGTAATGAAATGAAGAGTTGCCTGTTTTGATCCTTGAAAATGATAGATTCTGAATTTAACGAGAACTGTGTGGTAAAACACGTCTTCCATGCAGATCAAGTATAATATCAATGATATCAAGTATAAAATAATAGCGGCGAAATGAGAAGCTTATAGCCGAGTTGTTATTTTGCTTGGCTTATCGCCTCGAGCATCAGGGTCCGTGCTTTGCCTCTGAAGTAAGGTTGTCGCTATAAAATATATGTGGAGGCCTATCTGCATTGCAATCCTCACCAAATAGCTAGAGCAAAAACATATATCTACCTATAATATCTATAATATCTGTTTAGATATAAAAAAAGTAAAACTTTATCTCAAATTTTAACTGATTGCAAAGCGTTATGATCTATGACTGTGATTTTGGGCCTCATGAAAAAGTCATATCGACTTCGAATCCAAAATGCTGGCGACCATGTTTGCTTCCAATTGACCTTAAGAGAGTGATGCTAATGAGTTGATTTTTACTATCAATTGGATTAGTTTCGTTCTTAACGCCATTTAAGCTAATTTACAACCATTTCATGAAATCGACGATCGCGTTTTCTACCATCTGCTTTTTTCGTCGTAATAATTATGTGGTTTCTTATGAGAATGAGTTTTGTGTAATTCCTATATAGATAATAGATGACACTGAATAATTGAGTATAGGTACATAATTATTGCTCGATTC